AGCATTTTAATAGCTTTTATAAACATACCTTAGAAAAACACATTGATGTGCATCTTGAGACAAAAAATTGGCACTGACATATTTTAAAATATGCCAGTGCACGTTGGTTTCAGTTAAAACAGCTCAAACATGCATTCAGTCTGGAACTATGCTAAGTCTTGTTTGTGAAACATATATTTGGGGTAAAATGTTTATACTTGGGGTAAAAATGTATGAGGTAAATATGTCAGTAAAATGTTAATTATGTAGCTTCTTGTTTATTGAACTTGTATAAAATATCCAAATGTCTGAATACCAGACATTCATGCTCAATGTTGCTAAACATAAAAATGCAATATTAGCCTATAGCTGAAAGTAGTCCTTGTAAATAACAGTGACTTGTTTTCATTCCCAGAAAAGCTCTGCCTCTTCCTTCCCCTTCTCAGCTCTTAAAAAACCCAGAAAGTTTAAAATAAACCGTGAAACATGGCTTCAGAAAGAGATTGAGTGGTTCTGAGGGTTTGTTTCTGGGGAATCTGGAATGATTCATAAACTGGAATTAATTTGATTTAAAATGGGATTTCCTTGGTTTGGGTTCCTTCATGTCCATGTTTAATTATTGTCGGCACACTGCAGTATCAATACCAAAAAATATTAGAAATGAATGAATTTCAGGTCAGAAATATCTGACAACTTCAAGTAATACAGAAAGACACATTTTACCCAGTTCAATCGTTTTTTGTCAGGACTCGTTCTGCTCTTGAGTGAAGAGCGGGTCTGGGAAGATGACTACTTTGATTTTTGTCTCATTTCAGCTTTCATTGTTTCCCACAGGGCAAGAGATGAAGGCTTTTCCCAAAAGACTGCTGCTGTAGACTCAGTTATTTTTCTGGAGGAGGCCCTTGAACACAGAAATGACCTAAGCATTGAGTTTTGAGCCTGACTACATTGATGTAATGGAGGTAAAGCTTCTTTATCAGTTGTTATAGAGTTGTAAAGCCTTCTCCTTTGTGAGTCACAAAAACACTCAGGCAAATGAGCCGGAGGCGTTTCTTGGATGCATGTGCCGACCGCATATTTAGTTTTCTTAGACGTATCTCACCTGCTGCGACCAACACACATTTGAATTCCGCTGACCAAAATGAGCTCCACGTAGTGAGAATAATAACAGGTGCATATGTTGGTTGCTTTTCCCCCCTCACTTCTTGGTGGATAACTGGATATAGGCCTAATAATTACAGTACTAACAATGTTTACTTGAATAATGGCTAGAAAGTGTCAGCAAGTGCATAATCTTTCAGAGGTGAGATTTAGTATTAGTATGAGATTTCATTACCATTTTTGATGAATATCAGCATGTATGTTCGCATGTTCTTATTGCATCAGTCCATAATTGCCATTTAAACTTTGACTCATGTTATTACACGGAACCTTGATGAACTGTGATGTTACCATGGCAACAACACTTTACAAGTTTAAGGATCACCCCGGCTTCCCCTTGCAGGAACGAAACAGAAGCCGAGATTTCATGCGCAGAATTACTCCCTGGATACTTCCTGAAGTAACTCCTATAAAACGTTCCCACAAAATGCAATCAAAATGAAAGAAATACAGGGCCTTCGGAAGCATCAAAAATGTGATTTGAACACTTCTTTTTCTTCCTATGAGAGTTCATTTCCTTCTTTGATATTCCTGTCCTTATTTGCCATAAAGAACATATTAAATTGGAATTTAATGATGAAATACTGTGTCACTGATCTAGTGGGGGTTCAGAAGCATGGCAACGGACCATTACAGAGCATGCTCAAAGAAATCTATTATGGCAGGCTCGTTTCGCATCATTATATCCTTTCTGTAAACAGAGAATCAATTGAAGTTGAAAATCGAGGGTGGTTTTTAGGTCATCGTGTATATTTATTAATGTCATTTTCTGTCCTAGAACAAAGATATTCATAGTTTCACAGCTGTATATCACTTTCTAGGCTCCACATCGAGGATCAAGTGATGCAACCCCATTGTCAGACTGCTAGAAAAGAGGAAATGTCACTGATCATATATGGCTCTGTATTGAATTATTCAGCAGTGTAAAAATAGAATGTGTGAAACCTTCAATTCTGGGTGGAACTGAAAAACTACCTGAAACAAAGAGCTGATGAGATACTGCCCCCTACAGGACTGCAACAGCAATGCAGATCATGTTTTATCATGGATTCTTTTCTAATTAGGTCAGAGTGTTAATGTACAGAAACTGACTTTTTTTATCCTGTTATTAGAAAGAAAAATTCAATATTACCTCATATGTTTCAGATTATTTTAAACATACAATGAAGTACAGTGTAACTGGAGGACATGGAAAACAAATTGCAGCTATTGCCTCTACTAAAATACATTTTTATAATAAACTTCCATGATAAAATTGTATAGAAACATGATAACATAAAATAATGCTTAACATATTAAACAACTAATAATTACAAAAGTCATAATAATTTTTATATTCAATATATATATATTCATATTTTAATGTATATTTAAATATTTGAAGATGCACTCTTACAAGAATAGAACCTTAAAGGGTTCTGACAGGCGATTCATTATTTTGTTTTATTCATTTTTTATTCGGATTAAATTGTATTAATTAAACAGCTCAAAAACATGCTTTGTCCCAAGAAAAAAATGAAATGGCTAATTAAACATGAAGGTTTTATACAATCGTTTAAGATGTTTTATTTTGGCATAAAGAGTTCTTTAAGAAACCATAATAGTGTGGACTGTTTATTGGCACTCTGCAAAAAAACTGTTTTCATGATTTATCACAACTTTTTACCTTTTGTCAAATCAACTTAGATAATTAATATGGTTCAGAGAACATACTATTTTAAATTGTCTATTTAATAAACCAATCTCCTTTATTGTATCAACTTCAAATTTTTTTTTTTTTTTTTTTATGAACTTTTGAAAATTTTCCATTATGACAACATGCCCCAACCCCACTATTGTGCCCCCCTTCTTCTGGGTAATAAAGATGATCTTCTTCAACATGTACAGTAATAACACATGTGAAGAGTGCCATCTTAAGGCACAACAAAGCAAAGAACAGCAGCTCTGTCCTGCAGATGATGACTGAACTCTCTAATGCATTGTGGATTTACTAAATGAATGTAAAGATGTTAAAACACTGTCACTTCCTATTGTCAGTGACAAGCCTTCACAATATTTCACAGAGCTGTGGTGATGGATGACATATTCCTGGAATTAACTTGTTTCATCTAGAAATTAACCAGCTATAAAAAGACTACTTTAGAGAGCCTGTTCTCATAACCTTTTCTGTCACTGCGTCGAGTAATCAATCATTCTGTTTCTCGTCTCATTTTAATTACAAACTGATAACCATTTCTCCTCGGCAAATCATTTTTGGATACTGCTAATATTGTTCATATGAGGATTATGTCAGTCTCTCTATGACCAAATCCCCTTGATTATATTGTTACGGCTGATTTATAATAATTCATTCCTGATAAGCCTCAATAGAAGGGGTTAGATTGTTTAATGGGGCTTAATTAACCTTCAGTAACTCCTTGAAGACACTAACTGGGTTGAGCTCTCGGAGATTCCATGTTTGACAGGTTTGTTGTTATGTTCAACAGGATTCAGAGGCTTCAAAGAATGGTTTGCTCAAATGTTTCATTCTGATATCATTTACTCAGGTCATTCCAATACAAGAAATTCTACTCTTGTTGTCTTACATAAAACAAAACGTGGATGGGGGAACCAAAGCTGATAAAACTGTAAAAAGGTGACCTAAAATAGATTTGTGTGGGGAACAGACAGACAGATATTCAAGTTATTCGCAGAAAATTTTGCCTGAATATTCTGCTTGATAGCCGTGGTCTATCCAAAGGGGCTTATTGCATTTCAAGATAAACCTTTTTATCAGTTCAAAAACTCTTGTTTGTTAAGCCAGTGTTGAGTAGTTTACTCATTTTGAGTCTCTAGAGCATGTGGCAATAGCCTCAGGCAGATTTTGTTCTGCACCCCATGACATTTTTCTGGCAAAGTACATAGCATGACTGCAATTATATAAATATGTGCTCACACGCATCCATTCATCTAATCAATAAAATTCACTAGTATTTTCAACTCTGTTTCTTGAAACAACTCAAAAACATGGTACGTTAAACTGTACCAATAATGTCCCTGATTCTGACATCTAATTTGATCAATAATTTGATCACATTTCTTGGTTCAATAAAACGAGCCAGCATCATTTAGGAACATGAAAGATCATGAAATCTCAGCAGAGCATGAACTGTGGAAACCTGCTAACTGAAATCAATTTAAAAGATTTTTTTTGTCTGGCGTACTAAGAACAATTCTAAGGCACAAAGCACAAGTAGTTTGTTATAATATACTCTCTACGGTGTGTGTGATTCTGTCCTCCATCTATTTCAGGTTCATCCAACAGCAAAGGAGTGTGATGAAAAGGAAACATGTCTTTAAAAGTTCCTGGTCTGCTGCAGTGAGTAAGGGTTAAAAATGTGCTTACATTGCTATTATTACAGAAAAATTTCCACTGTTTACGAATTTTCAAAATCCAGTCATTTCAATAAGAACCCACGAGGTCAGGTACATCGTGTGAGGGCGAAAGATTTCCCTCCGCAGATTTTGCAATGGATTTGCAGCATTGACCAATAGAAAGCTGCTTAGTTTGAAAGTGAATTCTGTGTGAGTTTTGCTTCGTACATCTCTACACTGTTAACAATAGACAATGGACCTTTTTTGCCTGTGAAATTTTGGCAAAATGTTTTTTTAAACTTCAAAAATGTATATATACAGACACACACACACACATATAAATAATATACACGCATACATTATATAAACACAAACTTTTATTTTAGAATCGATTATTCACGATTAATCAGTTTGACAGCACTAGTAGGAATTCTGATTTATTCATCAGTCATGAGTGGTGAAATATTAATTAAATGACAGGAGTTTTATTCAAATGACATAGAGGGGCAAATAAACTTAAAATGGATCACACAGGCCTGTTCATAACTGACATATAATGGGTCTTGAAAACCTAATCAACTAAATGGGGATGGAGACAATGGTGGGCAGCTCTCCAATGGGTGGAGGGTTGTATTTCTCAACACGCATGAGTCGACGAAGAATGTCATCTCGGTCCCTGGGCCAGGTGAAGATTTGCGTGCTTTGAAGCCATGAAGGGACATGACACTGACAGACAAAAGCAGACAGAAATGTTGTAAACTAACGCAGAGGCATCATTACATCTGAACTGGATTTAAGTGGAATATATTGGAGTAATCCTTTAGGTGTTACCAGAGCATTGCACAAACAACCACAGATGTCTATTGCTGTTATCATAATAGTTAATCACAAATGAGGATTTTGGCTGCTTGAGCGAGTACTTGTTTAAACAGAAATATAGTTTTCATTAAAGGGATAGTTCACCCAAAAATGAAAATTCTGAAGTTGCTCCAAACCTGTATGAATTTCTTTCTTCTGCTGAAAACAAATCAAATATATTTTGAAGAATATGGTTAACCAAACAGTTCATGGGCCCTATTGACTTCCATAGTAGGAAAAAATACCATAGTAAATACTAAAAATACTAAGTCAATGGGGTCCATCAACTGTTTGGTTACTGACATTCTTCATAATATCTTCTATTGTGTTCAGCAAAAGAAAGGTTCATTCATACAGGTTTGGAAACCTTGAGAGATAGTAAATGATGACAATTTCCATTTTTGGGTGAACTATGGGTTTTAAATTTTAATCAGTTGCTGAAAAGATAGACAGTTTTACCTTCTTGGCACCAGGAAACAAAATGGGAATGAATCTATAATTCCTGGCCCCATTCTGAATGAATTCGTTTTGTAACTAAAAGACAAAGTTTTTAAGTCAATTGACAAGAAAAATAAGGAAAAATCTATTTCCACTAATCATTTGTAAGTTGTACCTGCTTGTGTATGTAGACAGTGTTGAGTGTTTCATCGTTTTCCATGTAAAACGAGGCATTGGTCACAATCTCGTGGTACTTTGGACTAATGACTATGATGATCAGATAGTCTTTCTGTGCATTTAAAAAAATTAACACAAAATAAGACAACTTTATGGACAGAAAGTAGCAATTAGGCCTACTTCAGATAATAATTAAAAAAGTTTGTTCACTCTGTAAATGCTGAAACTAGAAAAGCAGGGTTAATCGTTCAGAAATATGCTAGAAATATGTCCTCCCCCACTTGAGGTCTGAATTATATTAATTAAAACTACTTGTTTCGGGGTTACATGTTTTTTTATTTATTAGATGGTCTAAAAATGCATCAAATTAAAAGTGTTGTTGGATTTGTTAGTGCCAAGACTGTTCATGCCATTCAGATTAATGCAAAATAAGAATACCTGGGCATTATAAAATCCTACAAATCCCCTGCAACTTGTGTATATGTCTAATAAAAATGGACTTATTTAATAATTCTTATTTATTTCTACTCCAGCTCTGTTTAACACATATTTACCATGTTTAAATCAATTCCTCAGAATTCAATAGATTATAATCTGAAAGTCAGCGAAGAAAATGAAATACATACTGGTTGACTATATTTGTTGTGCTATAGATGTGTTCATTGGCAACTCACAAACTGGCTGTAATCATTTAGAAGCAAATACTATTGAACACAAGTAGGACATACACTGCCTGAATGACATTGACACATTGAACCTGTTCAGAATCTCAGCACAAATTAAATCACCTAAAAGCAACTACTTGTAGACATTCATTTTAAAGGGGAAATGTCATAGTAATGTCAACTATGTGTCAGGGATCAATCCTTGGCATTTATACGGTTTATAAGGTTAAACAGTGACATTTAATCAGACATATAACATCAATGCTAACATTTTTTTTAGATTTGTAAGAACTGAAGACATCCTCAACAAAGGAGAGCACCCACCACTAGGCTCAATGTGTTGACCATAAACAGCAATGTTAGTTCTTCCACTGCTTGCAATTCAATAGTAAGCATTGCTTTATAAATGCAACCATTGAACAAGTTCTCCTAGCTTAAGAGGTTACAGATATCTCATATCCTTGATGATGCATTCGAATTTGATTGTTTATTTAAGAAGCCAAAGCTTCATAGATAGACCTTCACAAATGACCTATGGCCTATTCATAAATAATAGTAATAATAATATTAAAAAAAAAGAATGATCGCAGATGAAAATATATTTATACGGAGTAGAAGCACTACAGTCATGATTTAGGCTAATGAGTGATAAAAACCATCTTGAGGTCATATTTAACACATAACTATGCAAAATTGTCTTTATGGTCTCTTTTTCTGGTGTTTTATATACAAATTTATATTATTAAAAATTGTGAAATATGATACTATTAATATATATTATGAAATATGATCTCTTTCCAATAAACCTGCTCCTGAATGGCCTGTAACAACAAAAATTGTTTGGTTGCTTTACAGTTTTCTGTCTTACAATATTACCCTGTAGGTGATTCTTGGTCAAAATAAGCTGCAATGTGGTCTAGAATTTATGCTGTGCAAGTCAAACTATAAAAAACACACTCTGAAATACTAGGAGGTCTGAGACGATCTCTACTTACTTCGCTGATGTATCTTTCCATGAAGTCAATCTTGCTTATGCTCTTGAACTGTTGTTCAAACATGTCAATCTGTGCAAAAAAAACAAAAGGACTGAACATGATCTCTGACAGACCCAGCATCAGGTGACAAGCATGGCTGCAAGGCAATGTTTGGCATAGGTTGCATGTCTTACGTGAGTGTAGAAGCCATTGTGTCTCAGTAAGGCAACAAAGTTGATGATCTCTTTGACATGTTTTTCACTGTCTGCTTCATAAGTAACAAACACCTTCCCTGCAATAATGAAAAGAGTGAAAAAGAACATTTAATAGATCCTTCCAGAATTATAATTCAAAATATTCTATTCTATTTAGTGCTGTTAAATAGCATGATTAATCGCATGTAACATAAAAGTTTTTGTTTATATAATGTGTGTATAATTATAATTATATATATATATATATATATATATATATATATATATATATATATATATATATATATAATATATGTGTGTGTGTATACACCCATATATGTTTGCATATATATATATATATATATACACACACACACATATATATATATATATATATATATATATATATTATATATGTGTGTGTGTGTGTGTGTATACACCCATATATGTTTGCATATATATATATATATATATATATATACGCACACACACACATATGTATGCATACATATGCGTGTATATGTATAGTATACACACACACACACACACACATATATTAAATATAAACAAAACCTTTTTTTGTTAGATGCAATTAATCGATTTATTAATTACATGTAAGGACTTCACGATTATGACAAAAATCATAATTGTAGATTATTCCTTTGAATAAACCCCTTCAGAGTGATGCAAGACCCCTCCGCTTGGCATCCTGATCGCTCTGTCTGGGTTTATTTTGCGATAACAGCCGGCTGGATGTACATTATACCTTAAATATTATTATATTATATTACTAGTCTTTTAGGGGAATTAATTGTTGAAAAAAAAAAAATTTGATTTGGGGAATTAGATTTAAAGTACCATTAACTAAATGTAATCTACATATAGCATCTTTAACACAATCACTTTATAATCAGGTGACTCTGAAGAAGAACAGATTCAAGTTAAAAAAATTTCTTTATTATATTCTGAAGCTACTGGCACACACATCTTATTCAAATTCCACATTCTTTCAGTGTTGCTCAACATCAGTGTGTACACTCACTTTGCTCCAGGGACAGAGGGGCTGTGCTTGCAGTTAGTTTAGCTCGAGGGTGAGGAGAGGTGTGGCCACTGTGAGAGATCAGAGCATTGCATAAAGACCTCAGAAAACTAAGTTGAATCCATCATTGAAAACAAGCAACCTGTAAAATCAATACAAGACCCACATTAATTGTCCCACCACTATTATACATTACCTGTGAGTGAACTCTGAGGCTGAGTGTCTGCTGTTTTCAAGGCCTGTTGGAGATGAAATGATGAAGTGAGCGAGACATTAATCTGCATACACTGTAAAAATGCTTTATCAGTAACCTAACATAGGTTTTATTGAAACCAAAATTAGTATTTAATAACATTAGATCCGCTTGATAATTTGAGTTACTTGTCAATTAGATCAAGTAAAAAAACATTTATTATGAATACTTGCCAATTTATAACATGCTTTTCCATCATTTGATGAATTACTGCTGCCATGATCAATACAATTATACAAATGTAGGCCTACACAAACATCTAATTTTATTAATATTATTTTGTTTACCGCCTGCAGTAAATAGCTCAATGTTAACTGTGCCAGACAAATATTTAACAATAAAATTAAGCATTAAGTTTGAAACATAAAATGGAAATAATCCTTTTTTTAAATGGCCCAATCAACAGACTTTAAAATGTTTATTTTAATTAATATCTTAAAATGTAGTGGAAAAAAATAAACTGACATTATTTAATTTGTGTTTTAAAATGTGGTTAAATAAAACAATAAAATAGTGAATTTAAAGAAACTTTCAAATGCACATTGTAAACTACATTTCAAAAAGACATTTATCAGCTGCTTTTCTTTATCCATTTGTCAATTAAGCTAAAAAAAAAGCCATAGTTCAGTTCACTCGTCTGTGCAACCAATCAGCTTTAGAATAGTTAGACGTTCAGCTTTTAGACATGTCAGATGGACTATCATTGGATAGTAAGATGTTTATATATGTGTCGATTGTAATGCAATGGAAGATGTTGCAAACTCAGCCAGTCAGCCAATTATTATTTTTATAATTTACACAGAAATTATACATTTAAACAAAAAGGGCGACAATGATTCAATTTAAATATGGTTCAGCTACAGTATTTCAGTACATTCAACATTTGTCTAAACTACATTGTTGATTAGTGTGGTTCAGTGAATACAATATAGGTTTTTGCATTGAAATACCGCAAATAAAAGTGATATTTAACCTTCTGACTAAGTAAGTTGAGTGAAATGGAAACTTGTTGCTCAACTGAATTGCATACATTTGATTGGCCACAGGCTTGATAACGATCCCTGATAAAGACAGCGTACAAGTATGAGGTCATTTTAAAGACAATGGAGGGTTTTGAATGTTGGAATTATTCATTACTGTTTATGGTCTTGTTTGACAATTTTACAAGTTTCATGTAAAAAAACAAAACTCACTTATGACTCATAATATCATAATAGGCATTGCATTTCAACAAAGAACCGAGACTTACGTGAAGGCCAACAGGGCATCTGGTAATGTGGTCTGTAATGACAGCCATGATCCATTTGATACACATCCACAGTGTGCTGACTACAGCAGGGCGGCCCACGGGACGCGCAGGGTTGCGGGGGCATGCAGTAGCTGTGAGGCGCGAACGCAGTTGGGATAGAGTGCAGTGAACGTGGCTGTTCTAGACTCCCCTCTCCCAGACTGTGCCTGTCTGGAGAGCAAGAGTAGCTGGAATCACCAGGATAACTGCAGTAATTTCCAGACACCAAGCAAGAGGGAAGGTTGCCACTAGGGTATTCCACTGAACTTCTGCCCAGTGAACTCGAGTGGAGCAGGTCTCCATTGTGTGGCTCTAGGGTGCTCAGACATGCTTCCGTCTGACTGGGAAAGGGCGTCTGGGGACTGTAGCCAGAGGGTAGACCTAGCGGGGGCTGGTAAGGTCTGTAGCTGGACTGTGTGGATCTGTAGTTGGTCTTTCTGTTTCTGCAAATATCCGTGAAGTCAGCCTGTGCTCTCAATGACTCATTCTCAGACATGCAACAGTCAGCGTGGAAGAGCTGGGAATCGGTGGAGTCTGAGTCACAGATGCCGTCCTCAGTAATGATTTTATCCATAGTCTCGTCGTTCTCTTCTGGAAAGTTGAGGGATTGTAAACTGTAGTGGCCAAATGGAGAAAAATGCCTAGTTACTGAGAAAGAAAACCTAAGACCTGAAAAATTCAGATAAAGAGAATGCCTACTTGAAAAGAAATGGAAAATCAACATTTGAAGAGTGACAATACACAATGACACTACAATAGATTGAGAATATTGCTGTAGCTTGCAGACTTCCTAATATTTATTCAAATGGCAATGTTTCAATCAAACAACCTTCTTCATGCAAAACGTAACAACTGGTTCCCAGATGCCAGAAGAAGGCTGTCAGTCAAAAATGTTTGAATAAACAGGGCACAAAAATAAAGACAGCCCAGTGCCAGTGTGAGCTGTCGGTTTGTGTTATTATTATATTACATACCATATTTTATATTATGTTTATACATTCTTAATCTACTAGCCATTGGCAGGTAATGCACTTTTTTTTTTTATCTCGATTTAAAATTTGTCATTATGGGAGGTATATTTTACCTATATTGTAAGCAGTGCTGAGCAGGCATCATCCTTGTGCCTAATACAAAAGAGCTGAAGCCATTGCATATCCCCAGTCAGCACACAAATCTGTAATAAGTGGTTAATAAGATATGAATACATGAAGCCTTGACTGCATGATCACCCTGTGAAATGGCTGTATTTGAGAAAATTAACAACCTTTGGCTACTGAAACACAGGAACCCACAAGCCAAGGGTTTATTTCTATCTCTCTCTCAACTGTACTGTATGACATTTCAATACACATTACATAAACAGCGGAAAACACCTCATTATGCAGTGGAAACCAACATGAGACATGGGAAATCACAAGTAACTAAGGCAAGCATCAACCTCGGGCACAAATGGGCCAGAGAGGATTCCAATACAATAACGTCCATTACCACAACACTTAAAATCCAAATAATGTAGTTATATTATCAAAATACATTAAATGAGATCTTATAGCAGACGCTTATTTTATTTAAAAAATAATAATAACAATAACAATAATGATTATGTTTATTGTAAAAATAAATAAACAAAAAAGTAGTAGGTTATTTAGGAAATTTTCGTTGTGTTTCGCTTTCCGTGTTCACGCTTTAAAACTGTCACTGCCGGGCTTTATAACAAGCATTAGCCTAACGTTACTCAAACATTGTACAATAAACGCATATAAGTTTTAGCTTTGTACCGTAGTACTATAAAAGTAACACCTTCCAAAATGAAATCTCAGAAAAGATTAACAGCTTAAATACTTAAAAAACGTATAAAACTCAGACTCTGCTCTTACGACTCTTACAATTTCACCTATTAGATATATATTTGACGTCTAACGTCACATAAAACACGTCCATACCTGTAAGCTGACCAGCAGATTTAGTGGCGTGAATGATTTAATTCCGATCAGTCTCTAATCGCTGGACATTACAGACCGCACGAACTTTAGCACTCGAAGAAACGTTACCTACTGCTTGGAAGTTTCTGAACACCTGCCTGACTGTTTTCACACCACAAACTCCGCCCACTTCCCAGAAAGCACATCCTCGTAGATGTTTATCTGCCTTCATCAAAAATCGTTCTTATGAGCCGATTCTTTTTAAAGATTCTAATGAACCGATTCCCACTGTGTTTGTAAATCACATGACAGTAAACTAAGAGTTGACAAAACGGTGAAATGGGAACTAAATATCAAGTATACTGACAATAAGTCATATGATTAATAATAATTTAATAATATATTAGTTAATATTATTGGCAACAATATTGTTAATTTTGTCAATACTGTTTGAACAACAACACCGTATTTAGACTAAAAATGAAAGTAAAATTGCCACACAAGAATATCTGGGCACATTTCTGAGTGCCATCTTTGAACAAACAGGAAGGACTAAATGAACAAGAGTTCTACTAAAATAACTATAAGCATGGGCTTTTTAAAGAATTAAAAAAAAAAAAATTCATTCTAGGACTGTATGATTGTGGTTTAAAACAAAAAGGAAAAACAACTCACAGTAGCATTTTGGGGGTTACTTTTTATTGCTAAAAATGGCCAATGAGAATCACTTTCCAGAAACAAATACATTATCATAGACATCTGTGGTTTGGTTTTTAGAGCTATACATTTCTGAGTAACACCGACATCCGAGATCTGACTCTGAACTAACAGTTTTTACATGTAAAGTAGATTTGCTGTATCGGTGTCTCTTTGTAATTTAATTAATTTGCTCAATTACATATTTAGTGCCATGAACATATTTTTATAGGACAACAGATATGAGCTTATTAAGTTGACAATTAAAAAATGGTGACGTTTTAAACCAAAGCACTGGTTATCATGTGAAATGTAGGAAAATGTCAAATAATGTAAATGTTTTACATGCAATCAATCTAACACAGATAAGTGCATAGAGTAAATACATTAGTGTTGTTTACTGTAAAGTCTCTCCTGAGTGTGTTGTTTCTCTTTAAACAGAAAGCAATGCTTCATTATTTAAATCATATTATGACAAACCTCCTGATGTAATTTAGCCATAACTGGATATACAGCGACAGACCAGTTCATTTCAAAGCCTAAATTGTGTGATTGTAGATTAGCCAAAGGCAAACTGATTTGATCAGTCACTTCTAAGGAATGCAGGAGGAGCTTTGTCAACTTAACCTAATTACATATGTAGACACATCGACTTTCCTTTGGTTAGCAAAGCAGGATTCCAGCCACTTTTTCTTTACAAGGAGAGCCTGAGGGTACTGATGCAATAGATCTCGCAGTTCCTGAAAAAAAAAAAAAGGAGAATAATGCAAAGCATATTTCTGTTACTAAATCTAATACCAAAATATTAGTATTAATAAATATGAATCTAATTAGTATAAGGCATATTGAAGGGGTCCTATTATGCATTTTTACATTTTCAACTTTATTTAATGTGTAATGTTGCTATGTGAGCATGAAAACGTCTGCAGTCACGAAGCACAATCACTACATAGAGTTATTCTCTATATCTGTAAGCACTGTTTCTAAACTCCCTGAAACGGCATTGATTGTAACATTAAACTTTCTTATATATTCCTCATTTAAATAATTCCCGCTCAAGGCATTTGCAAAAAAGGGGCGAGGCCTGGTTGAGTTGTGTTTAAGTCCCCCTGTGGTGGAAATCAAGCTTTTAATGTTTATATGTCTATGTGGTGTTTTTAATATGCCCAAAAACGCGGTTTGAAATCGCTGGTGTTTCTGACATCACAAACTACCTTGTAACCAATCACGTCAACGTGTGATTGTCAACGAGTGGATCTCTGAGATTGTGTGAGTGAGTGGAGGCGGGGCAAATTAGCATATTCATAGAACCACGTATACTAAATTAGTCAAGGGTGTAGAGTTACATTCAAGCCATTTTAAGGCATGAAGATTTTTTTCAAGGAAAAAACGTTTAAATATGTCATTTTGGTGATCAAAGATGATTTTTAAGGGATAAAATTATTGACTACAGGGGGACTTTACAGTTTTTTTACAATCATTTTGTTACTATTTTCAGAACCTTGATGTCATTTCTCACAACTCTAGACACAAAACTCACAACCAATGATCAAAATGCACATTTTTCAAAACCCTAACCCTTTTCTCAATTGCTTGGATACAATACACATAAAACTTAGATAATTTGTTCATTCAACAAAAATCACCTGTTCAATATGACACAACTTAACATCACAGTACTACTATTTCAAAAGGCAATTCACACATTACATTTCAAATGAGTGTCTATTCATTTCCTTACAATGATCTACCTATCAATTGATACAACTGCTCAAAATGATAAGTAACTGTTGCATTACTCTTAATGCATAGTTGTATGGAAACAGACACACAATCTTCCATGTTTACAGTAAATCATGACAGTTTCAAGATAACGAGATTCATTGTCACCAATTAGCGTGGAGCATGAACCAATTAGACTACAATATCCATGGATGTAGCCTACGCAGGGCCGTAGCTAGAGGATTCGGGGCCCCCTGAAAAAATATTGATGTGGGCCCCCACCACCCTCCACCAATATCATATACTGTACAATAGATGAACATGGAGGCCCACATAACAGAAGATGGTGATGTTGTTGTAAAACCTTTATTTTAAAAGTTAAATGTTTATATAAAAATTACAACTAATAAAAAAAGCAAGAAATTGTTAAATAATAATAAAACCAATTTTTAAAAAGTAATAAAAAAAATTCCCCATCAGTCTGTTATAATTCATAAATCAAAAAGTAAACATTTAAAAACTTGACAAGAATGCAGTCTAATTAAAAAAATAAAAGCATTTATTGTCTTATTTTTTATAATTGTGCCCCAGTTTTTTTTAATAAAGATAATATGGAACTGGTAATATTATTAAATAAAGCGAATACATTTATTCATCCAAGTGCAGTGTGTTGTCTTCGTGTTTTCTCTATGTTTTAAATATCATCAGCCGGCAGGTCAGATGCATAATGCAATGCGTCGTGACTCGTGTAATTTTTTAAAAACTCTAGTTACAATACTGTAAAAAGACAGGAATTTAGACCACGTAATCATTCGGTCGATTGCGGCGCGCACCGATAATAAACAATGACTGTACACGGCAGACTGTAGACGGAAGTTTTCTAATTCCCAGCGAACCAATGATTGTGCAAGTGCAAGATTTCTTTAAAGATGTGAATGCACAATGCAATGTTTTGAACATTAGACGGCCTGTGTTACAAGTGACAACCGTTTTGAGTTTTGTGTCTAGAGTTTTGAAAAATGACATCAAGGTTCTGAAAAAAAATAGTAGCAAAGTGATTGTAAAAAACTGTAATAGTGTGTTGAAGCTCACTGTTAATTTAAAGGGGCATGAGATTTCCAAAACACACTTGAAGCGGTTGATTAATCACAAAACACTGGTCCAGCCGACCAATCATAGCACATTGCACTTTTTAGAAGGAGGGGCTTCATAGAGCGTCATATAAAAATGAGTCAAGCATGAAAACCTATTCTAATAAACTACAAAAACAAAATCAAGACTTTGAAAAAGGGCATAATAGGTCCTCTTTAATACCTCTTTAAACAGTTAAGTGTTTTGATGGTACTACCTTTGCATGGACAGGACTTTCTACCTCTCCTATGATATGAGTGACGTGTGAGCTCATGAGATCCTCTTCATCACCATCATATGTGCAGCAATGTTAAGGAGTAAACTATCAGCTCAACAAGATTTATCATCATAAATGTGGTAAAGATAGACGTGTTGATGTAGTCTAATGGTTAAACGCCTTTGTTCACTATTGTTTCATGCATAGGAAACGTATGGGTAATGGAGGGACGTGAAAGGATATGTGATAAGGTAGCGGGCGAGCTTCTTCTTTTCTGTAGCAGCCATGTTGTAGAAGTAGACATGAACACCTCTCATGAAGTCAGCCAATCCAGGTGTGTCCTGACTTTCATGTGACATAGTGGAGATTTTTGTTTTGTTGTTACCAAGAGGACTGGAGGAGGCTGATGCTGCAGGGTCTGAGGTTGATGGAGTAGCTGTGCATGTGGTGGAAGAAACTGTAGAAGAGTGTGAAGCGGCTCGTCTGTAATAGTAGCTGAAAAACAAGTCAAGGAATATTCCTGTTTCTGATGGTGACATCAAATCCATTACTTCTAAAGTACTTCTAAAGCAATACGTGTATTCCTTTAGGGGTCTTTCACACTTGCCACATTTGATGTGGTCCAAACTTAAGCTTGATAGTTCCTGGTGCCCCCCATTGCATTGGTCTGGTTTCACACTCTCTTGATTCTCTCAAACCCCAGTACATGTGCTTTTATCTTGCTTAGCTGCTTTCAAATTCAAGCGAATTGTGCCCCCTGTTCCAGTTCCAAGCGAACTCTGACCTCCTCCTCTAGGTAATTTTGGGTTTGGTACCATAGCGCGCTCTCTGGTCCACATGACAGCTTTCACATGACCAATTTTTTCTGCAAACCTTGCTCTGTTTTGAACTAAACTGCCAGTGTGAAAGCACTCTTAGAGTAGATATTACATTCTATTTACATATCTAGCCAAATGTCAAAGTGATAAAAAATAACTTATGGCCTCAGTTCATGGTTTTTACTAGTAAGCAGTTTTTGTGAAAAATGAGGACTTCTGGAATAGGATACATAGATGTGGAGATGCCTTTGGTGGCCAGGTGCTTACGAATGAGTCTTTCTGTACCGTACCAATTGAAGCCTTTAGTGGAGTGACCAATCCGAGGCAGATGGACACTTGCTATTGAAGATAACACAGAAAAGGTTTAATATCAGAGGTTGAAGACAACATTAACCGGGCATTCACACAGAATAGAACGGTGTGTCAATGGTCAAACACATCCATCTAGCGCAGGGGGTGGGCAGCTCTTGCTCTCGAGATTCACTTTCCTGCAGAGTTTAGCTCCAACCATAATAAAACGCATATGAACAAGCTAATCAAAGTCTTTAGGATTATTAGAAAGCTACAGGTGAGTTTAAACAAGGTTGGATCTCCAGGGCCAGAGTTGCCTAGCCCTGATCTAGTGCATGTTTACATTGAAAAAGAGTTTGAAAATGAATTTACCTCTTGGAAACAATCCCAATCAAACCTTTATAATACTAAAAGGTATGTGCACCGTGCAGTAAACTTGGGTTTTAAGACAGGTTTGCAGCACAGATGGTGTAATTCAGCTGTAATAGCCGCATTAATAGATTATCAACCCAAGTCATTTGTTTAAAAGTGAATATAGGATTCACAAATGAGTGCCGAGTACCCTTCTTTTGTTTGGCATCTCTGTATATCTTCTTGAGGCCCTCATCCAAGGCAGTGAGTCGAATGCCTGACAACTTGTTGGCTTTATCCCTCTGCTGGGCAACTATGAGTGCCAGCTAGAGAGACAGGAGGCATTCAATTATTAAATAAATTAATGATTTAAAATAATTAACAGCACTAGATTAAAGACATAAACAGCTGGCTGACTTACATAGTCTCTTCCACTGAGCCTTGACTGTTTATCATCAATAGGAAAAAGCAGAACATTCCCAAGTTCTAAGTCTGCAACACACAATTATCACTTTTATCATTTATATATTTTGCTCATTGCCCTTCAATTTCGACCCAATCAGTTATTTAGTCAATGTAGAATATAATTGTATTTTTGGCCAATTTATCATAATAACATGAAAATAATTATATTGTTATAATTACAAATGTCTACAATCACCCCAGTGTAGAACAGGGGCCGTATTCACAAAGAATTTTAAGGCTAAAATAGCTTCTAACTGGCGAGCAACTCCTAAAAATAATGGGCATGTCACTCCTAACTTTAGGACTCCTAATTTTTTTCACTATGAGTAATTCACGAAGCATTTTAGCCCTAAAAGTAGCACCTAATTCTGGGACAGCTTAAAAGAAGTCGAGAGGACTCCTAACTCACTAAGACCTATTCACAAAGGATTGTAGCGTATACCACCGCCTCTCGCAGTCGTCCGGGGTCCGCGACACAAGCGGGAATGCTGCATTGATCTGCAAACAAATCCTCTCCCATGTCTCACGCTTAGTTTTGCTTGATATCCGAATGCCGAATTTGCCTTTTATTATGTTTTTTTTTTTTTTCAGCACCAACTGGGCCAGCAGCAGTAACTGATCCTGCGTCCAGTTGGGCTTTCTTTTCCATTTTGGCGAGTTCATCATCCACCGTCATTCAACTATTACATTACTTCAATAGGAGCAACATTTCCTTGCTTTAAGAGTCTATTTAAGCTAATATGATGTCAATTAACCAAGCAAGTGTTAATGCAAGTGTCGTTTTTCATTATTAGGCAAGTGGCGTTTTTCATTGGGGTATTAGGCTACCTTGATTTAATTTAATTTAATTTAATTCACGACTTTTCTATCTCTCTCTGCCTTTTTAGAATTACACTTCACTGGCCTGCACAAACATGTCATTATATATGCATTTCAATGACATTACTATTATTATTTTGTGTAGGACACAGATATATTTAGATGTCGTAATTCCATGATTTGTTAATGTGTTATGTTCCGCATGATGGCCCTGTCATCTAACAACCAATCACCATGATCATTGCGAGGAAGCTCGTGCATGAGAATTGACGTCATCCATAGCAACGAAGACTCACTCTTAAGGTGATGATACACAGGGCAACTTTTTGAGCAATGTTGCTGGGCAATGTTGCCGTCAACAGGCAACCAGATGAGACACAGGGCCCACAACTGATCTAAATTATCCAGATAGAAATGTATTGCCCATTTTTAATGGGAAAGTGCCCAAGCAACAATCGGTCGACAAGATTGCCCTGCAACATTGCTCAAAAAGTTGCCCTGTGTATCATCACCTTTAGTTTAGGAGTTGTCATTTTTCCTTACTAAGAGTAGGTCTGAAAGGCTTGTGAATAACTTTGAAGAGAAAACTCCTAGCTAAAATATTTTAGTGTGATTTAGGAGTACTCCTTGTGGTAAGATAAAATTCTTTGTGAATACGGCCCCTGAACTACAAAACAGAACTACATTATTATGTGAAGGTACACAGTAAACTGTTCTACCTAAAGTGTATAAATACCAGTTTTATAGTTCTGATACCATAAACTTTGTGAAAGCCACAACTTTCAAACATCACATTAATTATGGGTATAAATCCATTCTGACAGTTTCATGGAAAATCAGCTTGTAAGCAACATATTGAGCTGTGTGAACTGGATCCCGACATCAGTATGGAATGTTTGTAACGACAGAGCATGAATTAGACCTGTCTCAGCAAACAGAAAAGGTTTGTCACCTTTCATGTCACCAGCCAACTCATACTGTTTCCTCGGCTCATCTGATCTGAGCTCCAGTGCGGTGAACAATCCTCCTCTGCCCCAGTATCCAGAGTCATCTACATCATATACACACAAATACAGTTAAATCACACATAGAAGTACTTCACCTATGGCAAAATGGGCTTTCAATAAAACCTGCCTGCCTATACAGTAGAAAGGCGACATTGTTGTTTTTTTTTGTTTTTTTTTACATCAGTGCTACCTGACTAGAAAACAGAGAACAAAGGCTGTTATCTTGCCTTTTGCCAAAAAACATACAAAACCCAAAATGCACTGAGCATGTTGCCATCCAAGGCCAATCCCACCAGTCAGCTATGGATAAGCTTACCAGAGTCAAATACTGAGAGAAAACCTTAGTGTTTGTAGTCATTTTCAGTGATAAATCTACCCTTACAATTATAACTGAACTGTTAATAACTGTTACTAACTGCGATGTCCGCTGGATGACACGTTTGCGACATTGTAAGAATACAAAGTGGGATGAAAATCGGCAAAGTTACACTTTTAACAAGCCATAAAGAATAATCAAAATGCTGACAGTGGTCTTCTGTCAGCGAGACGTCTCGGTTATAGGCCAACTTAGCCACACCATTGAGAAGTTTTTAATAGTGACGTACCAACACAGTGCACAATGATGGCATCTTCTCGATCGGTCTGAGGACGAGTTACATCACCCAGCACATAGCGAATGGCTCTGTGTTCCGAATCAGTGGAGCTCCAGCTGACATCATCATCTTCATCAGACTCCATTTCCTCACCCTCACTGTCGACACTTGGCAAGCACAGCGATCTGTAGCCACACGAGTCCCACCATGCCATTCTGCCATTGAAAAACAAACAGAGATACACATACACACAGGCAATTAAATAGACATACACAGGAACATAAAATAAATATACTATATACTGGCCCAAAATGTGAATGCCACAATATGTATATATTAGGGGTGTAACGATATTCGAACCGAACCGAAAAACCGCGATACAGAACACACGATTCGAATCGCGATAATCTCATTGCGTACCGAACACGCCCCTCCCCGCCACCTGCTACCCCGGCCCCGCCCAGCCCGGCTCAATGGACCTCATGTCTTGTGTACAGTGCACAACAAATTCAGTTTTGTAGCCTAACCACCATTAACACCAAATAAAAAGCTCCGTGTTTTGTTACTTTCGATAATAAGCAAGGTGTAATCTTTCAAATTCTGTCTATTTGATCACGAAATTCAAACAATAAATGGCGTTTTGGCGCTCTTTGATGTGGCGTGACAGATCGCTGTATGCCTACTAAGCTCATTTCAAACGGCAGCGCGGCGCGCGGGTAAACGCGATCATCTCTTCCTCAGTTACAGAATGGACACCTGAAGGTATGTTGAAAGATGCAGTATACTTACTAAAAGGCATCATAACTCGTGTAATCGCTCAATCAGTGTTTCAGCAGCGGAAAGACGTCAATAAAACAGCATAGCTTGTCACTAGCATTATATTTACCTCAACAGGCAAGTGATTCAGTGTCCACAACTTTGGTTCCAATAAATGAACTCTTGCACTAAATAAATGCACCATGTTAGCCTATATATTATATTTTACTTAACCTGTTAATGATATCTTGATTATTTAATGTATGTTTAAAATATCTTTCATGAAAATGAAAACTGTGTAAACTATTATATTTCAATAACAAATTAGAGTAAAAACACAAGTTAATGCAAAAACTGCCTTATGTTCAGTTTACATGTTTTCATACAATGTGTTGTGTGTTGATTATTATATCTAAAAAATAAATAGCATCTGAATTTAGGTTAAAAGTCTAGGCTACAACCTTTAATGTTATAGTAATGTGCGGCTCCCTATATAGTTTACAGATTTAGCTGATTTTTTTTTAATCCTTGTGAAACGTTTAATTGTAATTGAATTAATTTAAAGAAAGACCATTTTTTCGTTAAACCACTGTTTAAAAAAAAAAAGAAGAAAGAAGCAATTTTAGCTTTCTAAACCGAACCGAACCGAACCGAGACGTCAAAACCGTGGGAAAACCGAACCGTCAATTTTGTGTATCGTTACACCCCTAGTATATATATATATTTTTTACCTCTTCTTGTAATTGAGTTCTTCCTGTTGTTTCTTCCTTTCCTCCTGCAGCTTTGCCCTCTTTGCAGCACCTTCTTGTCTCTTCTGACGTCTCTGTTCTAACTCTGATTCTGTAAGAGGTCTCTTCTTCCTCCCTGGGTCAATCAAGGGTCCAGTCAGGGACACCTGATAGGCAGTGACAGACATTTGTTTTGATTTTAGTTTTTTGCTTTAGTTAAAATGAAGTACATGAATAAATATAATAAAAACAATCTTAAATCTTAATTATTAGCTATCATGAAATAAAAAGAATGACAACAAATTGAACAGTTTAATTCACATTAAACACTACTGTTCAAAAGTTGGTAAGATTTTTTGAAGGAAGTCTCTATGCTCACCAAAGCTGCATTTATTTAATCAAAAATACAGCAAAAACAGCACAATTGTGAAATATTATTACAACTTAAATAACTGTTTTCGATTTTAATATATCTTAACGTAATTTATTCTTGTCATGGCAAAGCTGAAATTTCAGCATCCTTACTCCAGTCTTCAGTTTCACATGATCCTTCAGAAATTATTTTAATACGCTGATTTGTTACTGAAGCAACATTTCTTATCAATGTTTAAAACAGTTGAACTGCCTAATATTTTTGTGGAAACCATGATCATTTCAGGATTCTTTGCTATTTATTTGAATATTTTGAATATTTATTTGAATATTCAGCATCCGCAAGGACTTATATATATATATAATATATAGTCCTTGCGGATATAAAAAGTCCTTGCGGATGCTGAATAAAAATAGTATTAAAAATAAAAGTATTAATTTCTTTCCAAAAATAAAAATAAAAAATACAGACCCCAAATTATTTCATTTAAATAGGTGTGGAAGAAATTTTATCTTTAAGATGTGTGTTAAGATGTAAGTCACCCCAGCTTTGTTACGAAGTGCGCGGCCTTCCTTCCCAGCATCCCCTAGATCAACTAACTGCTTCTCAAGTAACAGTTCAAAGGTTTTCTCATCCTCTGTACTGGGGTCTTTAGAGTAGTCCTTCCCCTCAAAGTAGTACATGTGGTCTGCAAGTCAGGAAACACATTAACAGTTCATTCCATTCTCATTTTCAAGTGCGAGTTATTACAAGATTACTGAAAAGAAGCTAAGTGTTGTACTTTGACCCTCCATGTCCTCATCTTCCTCTTTATCACTCTCATTAAGCTTGACATGCTCTTCATCCGTTAGCCATCGCCCATCTCGAGACTGCCCTAGGATCAGCCTCAGGTCCACATCTTGAATAGAGCTCTCCTCTGACGACAGCAGTTTATCCACACCAAACTTCAGGATCTCACTCAACTAGATTGGTGGGGATATAAAAGACAGCATACCGAGAAACTGTAAACGTGTGCAGTTTCACAATAAGCGAAACCACAAGTGCACAAAGATATGAACCAGGAAACAGTGCACAGAAATGAGCTTAAGAGATAAGACGAAGAGAGTCAGAGGACTCTTTCTACCTGAAGGCCAGAAGCTGCGGATTGAGCCTGGTCCAGCAGAGAAAAACGTCCCCCCTCAATCACCGTGTCTGTGAGACGTAGTTTAGACACAGCGCGGGAATAGATGATCTCTTCTACAGTGTCTCTACCGAGGAGCCGGATCACTTTAACAGGCCTGCACACAAAGAAGAGATGAGAATTTATCTGCATGGTCAAGTAAAGTGCCCTTGAAAGGGAACATTTAAAGCGTGTTCAAACAGGACAAAAAAAACCACCAATGTCCACATGACATTTTGGTCTGGTCCTCGCACAAAACCATCACATGAACCACTTTTGTGGCACTTATTCTTGACACTTCAAGACTAGCTGGAACAACATAGAATATGCATTTTGCCAGTGGAGTACCTTGTTTGGCCAATCCTGTGGGCTCTGGCTGCTGCCTGTAGGTCATTCTGTGGGTTGAAATCACTGTCCACAAATAGCACAGTATCTGCTGCTGTTAGGTTCATTCCTACCCCTCCTAAAAACAAAGACTCTGTTGTAAACCAAGGTTCCGCACAGTTAGCAAATACAGGTACACTACTATTCAAAAGGGCTCAGAAAGATAAAAAAAAAAAAAAAAAAAAAAAAAAACAGCATTTATTTGAATATAAATCTTTTGTAACATTATAAATGTCTTCACTGTCACTTTTTATAAAAAAAAGAATCTTGATGACCCCAAAATTTTGAACGGAAGTGTGTAAAGAGTTTAACTAAAACGTTAGAGTGAAAGTGAGGCTGTAACTTAATATGAGCAGCTCTGAAAAAAAGAAAAAGGCCCAAGATGAACTGAATCTCTCTCTACATCACACAGGTTTTGCACCACCATCTGATACAGAGACTGTGCATGTTTTCAATATTTATGCATTATCTCGTCACGACTTTTGATTAATAATTCAATTAATATTAATAATAAATAAGATTTGCATCAAACACATAAGGCCAATATTGCAACCTTGAACGGTATTTAAATATAACACTCTAAATATTATATAAAGTAACTAATAAAAAAATGGATTTGCAATGCTGTTGATTAGAGTGTGATAGTGTGAGTTTCAGATTGGCTTTCCCAGACTGTGAACTCACCAGCTTTGGTGCTGAGGAGGAATATAAAAACATCTTTGGTGCTGAAGTTTTTAATAGCTAGGTTACGTTCCTCTCCCCGGACTGAACCATCCAGACGTTCATAACTGTAACCTGCGGAGAAGTGGGAGGGCTGGCAGTTACACGGCCGGTAGCACATTAACACACACAGCAGCAAACACAGGATGTGATACTAAACCCACATGAACTGCTCTAGATCAGAGGGCTAGATTACTAGAAGAACATGTAGGGTACGGTTACATAAATGTTCCAAATTGAAAAGAAACGTACACTGTTTTACAAACACAAAGCTAATACACATTCATTTTAAAATCAAAAAGCCTGAGCAAGCACATTGTGGTAACATTACGTGGTTTTTGATTTCACTTTAATTTCATAATTTAAAGTCTGTTTAGACTATTTTTTTTCTGCCTTGAGTCTATAAAAAAACAAGCAGTAAGCACTTCTTACTGTCATGCACATAGTGAGATCACAGGTAAATAAGTAAAGGTGAAGGCTCTGACAAAGTCAAAGTGTGTCTTAGTACCTCTGTGCTCCAAGTAATCTTGCAGAATATCCAGCATCCTGGTCATTTGAGAGAACAGAAGAACACGATGGCCCCTGAAAACAGTGACAAAAACATATATTTTATATCACCAAAACAATAAAACACATTTAAAGCTACACAATTGTAACTTTTGGCCTTCTTTGAAAACTTTGTTTTTACAACCCGAGGTTTGCCGTTTTGAATGAACCATCTTTTTTTTTCTTGTTTGTTGAGACATCAAACTTTCATCATGAAACTACCCACAGTCTGAGCTACTTTTCTCAGGGAAGGATATGGTGACACACGGATGAATTACATATAACCATTCCAACAGTGTATTTTGGTAAAGACATGATTTGGAAGATTTTTTTTTGTGGCTGTCTATCATTAACTGCATTTTGTATGTTGTATGTTTTTAAATAAAATAAAATAATGTAATCAAAAGTTATTTAATAAAAAATGATATGATGCTAAAACAGTTTGGAAGGTATTTTACATTACTGCAGGCCAAATATGACTAAAAAAGTTCGGAAAGTGAAACTTCTGTTTCACCATCAATTGATTATGATAACAAAATCTCAATATCTACAATAGACCAGATCATTTTGCTTTTGGAAGGAAGCTAGACTTTAGGTCAACAAGACAAACCCCTCCTGAAGATACGCCAGCATTGTGTCCAACAAAGAGAGCTTTCCACTGGCCTTCACTAAATGCTCCCCCATCTCAAACGGTTCTGGTTCCACACCTTACATGGAAATGGTGCGGAATAAAGACAATTAGTTGGATAAATAAATGTGTTTCCCATAGAAAATCACAGAAAGTGATAAAGTGATTACCATCAAACAAGTAGGGATGGTCCACACATTTCCTGAGCTGCATTAAAATGTTCAGAAGTCGTGTCTTAGTGCTTTGATCTGTCCTGAAGGCATCTGAAATTATTAAACACTAGACTGAAAACACCCTTTTGTTGCTTAAGTATTCAATTTTGCCTGTTGTGACAGTTTGACCTTTACCTAGGTCTCTCGTCAGAATGGCTTTATAGTATCTCTTCTGAAGAGCAGACAGCCCATGAAAAACAACAAGTTCTGTCTTCTTGGGCAGTTCAGCTGCCACCTCTGCTTTAACTCTGCGTAACAAAAAAGGCTGGAGCACTCGATGAAGCTCATCAGCTGCAGACAAGAACAGCAATGTTACAAACTCCCACAACAAGGTCACCAGAGTACAAAAGATGAGAATTTATGATCTATATCCTCTAATAGCCACTGGCAAATCTGACCGGTGAGTCAAGGAGAGATGATCTATTCTGACATCTTTTTTGTGCTCTGCCAAGTTTGTGAGTTGTCTGTTGTGTTCAGTTTGGCACCAAATCTATCTAATTTTTCTGTGTCCCTTAGAACCGATATCTGTGCTCTTTTGATGAGCAGAACAAATTGGTTTAAGGAGGGAGTTATGGCACAGTAATTTTCACCATAAACAGCAATTAAATCTCTACCAGTGAAAGAAAAGAGATATTAAAAACGTGATTGCTTAACTAAAGCCCTGAAGGTCAATGATGGCAGTTATTTTTTATATTTAACATTTGCTTAAGCCAACAACCTCAAAGTCGTCATGAAACAGAAGTTGCGATAGTCTTTTCTTCCCTATTGTGATGTGTATCCGAATGAAATGGCTTCTTAAACAAAACAAAAAGGAGGGTGGGACTGGGACTTGATTTTGTCCATCGGGAATTGATAGGATCATTTGGGTTTGCTATTGCTGCGATCTCATATGGCCGTTTACACCTGGTATTAAGATGCATTTTGATCGATCGGATCACAAGTGGATGAAGCTAAATACAGGTGTAAACCAGGTCTAAAGCGTTTTGAGCTTGTTCACTTTCGACCACTTCCAGAGGTAGTCGAAAACGCATTTGTTGCATGTTTAAAGGGGTGATGAACTGAGAAATAAAATTTTCCTTGAGCTTTTGACATCTAAGAGGTCATCAAATTATAAGAATATCCTGTAAGTTTCAGAACTGAAAACGTCCTTGTTAGTCCAATAAAAGCTTTTATTGACACCAGGCTCAGCAAACGACTCGTTTTTCAAAGTGGGGGAACTATGACGACAAAGAGGATAAAACACCACCCCCGCAGAAGAAGATCAACGCCTACTTCAACACGGCCGGTTTAGCCCCGCCCACCGATTCACGCATTACACGAAACTCATAATATGCAAAACTGTTATCCACTCACAGCAGTGGGCGTTTACGTCCAAGTCTTCAATGCGATACGCCCATAAAAACCGAGCGTTTTTGAGCTAGGCTCAAAACTAGGGTAGAAAATAGCCTATTACTTATTCATTTTGATGTTTTTGAATGTAAAAAACCAAGCGAACGTCAGTTGACCTCAGACAACAATATAAAAAGCCAGTTCATGACCACTTTAAGCGCTCGTGTGGTCGAATGCGTTCGAAATGCCACAAAAGACCACCTTCTCTCCGCCTACTGACTTAATGCGTAAACATTATGGGAAGCGCGCTAGCCAGACGGGATTTAAACCTTGTCGGCTGAAGACCAAAGTTTGGTATGAAGGCGAAAAATGTACAGTGAGTGACAGGTTCCCTTTTGAGAGGTTCCTCTTATTGCGTAAGAAGCTTACGCTATGGGAAAACTCCTTTTCTCGAGAAATATTGAAGTCTTTATGTAAAACGCATTGCAGCTGCACAGCATACAGCAATGAGCGAGGCAGCTCGGTCATTGGCTGTGCTGCAGCAACTGCACGAACCTATGACGGGGCGACTCTGAACCCGCTTCCAATGAGCGTGCTTCGCGCCTACGCGCGTCAGAGCCCGCCAAGATGGGCGTGGCCAAGGGCTATATATTGAGCGCCCCGTCATCTGAGTTCTTTAGATTTAATCTCCTTCAGCAAAGAACCTTCTCTTCGCTGGATCCTCTGGATTTATTGGAGTCTCTTCGCCGCCGCCGTCGACAAGCCTACAGCAGGACTGCTTCGAGGACGCCGGCGCCTTCAGCCGCCTTCGATCGCCCTTCTGCTAAGCCATCCGGCGCCCATCATCTTAATATCCTTTTACAAAGCTTTCAGTGTTCGCCCCCGCGACACTTTCTAAAAGAGCAAATTTTACAAGGCGTTGTTTCAAATGCCTTCCTGCGCCTCGTGTCGAGGCCCTCTTCAGGCGGGGATCGTCACATCATCTGTGCCCGCTGCCTGGGACCGGACCACGCAGAGGCTGCCCTTACTCGAGGTGGATGTCCCGAGTGTGACGCCCTGGGCCTCACCGAGCTGCGCGCTCGCTTCGCCGTTTTCACCGCGAAAGAGCCCACCTCTTCCGTGCTGCCATCTCCTCTGGTCGAGCCGCGCAAGAAAAAGCGCCGTTTACAGAGGCCGCCGCAGCACGCGGTTTGCAGTGATGTCACGCCGGGCCAATCCCCGCGTGCTTCACCACCACCTGATGACTCCCCGCCGCCAGTCCAGTTCACACAGGCGGACCAGCACCCCTCCAGCGGAGCGATGGGGCTCGTCTCGTTTGGCGCGTCAGGGGATGACGATGACAAGGATGACAGTTTTTCGTGTGATGCTGCATCCGACGAGTGGCGGGGTTCGTCGTTCGACCCCGCGCCATTGACATTAGCGGGCACGAGCGCGGGCTCCAGCATGGATTCTGAGATCGTCCGCATCCTGTCTAAGGCCGTGGAAGACCTCGGGCTCGATTGGTCTTCCCCGGAAGAACCCGCCCGCAGCCGACTGGACGAATGGTTCCTGCAGGGGCGCCGACAGGCCCCTCGAGAAAGACCCTCCCCCTTCTTCCCGGAGGTTCACGATGAACTCACGAAGTCGTGGAAAGCCCCGCACTCCGCTCGCCTGAAGCCTTCTTTTTCTTTGTCGCTCTCCTCTGTGGACGGCGCGAAAGAAAGAGGCTATGAGGGGGCTCCGCCCCTCGAGGAGGCTGTGGCCAATCATCTGTGTCCACCCTCCAACGCTGGATGGAAAGCTAAAGCTTCTCATCCCTCGAAGCCTTGCCGGTCTACTTCAGCTCTCGCCGGTCGCGCATACGCCGCCGCCGGCCAAGCTGCATCAGCGCTTCACTCTATGGCTGTCCTCCAGGTGTTTCAAGCTAAACTTCTCCGCAGTATGGACGAGTCTGGACCCGATCCTGAGGCATTTAAGGACCTACGCAGCGCCACTGACATAGCGCTGCGAGCTACAAAAGCCACAGCCCAATCCATCGGCCGTGCTATGGCTAACCTGACTGTCCTTGAGCGCCATCTGTGGCTGACGCTAACAGAGATGAAGGATGCAGATAAGGCGCCATTTCTCGACGCGCCTATCTCACAAAGCGGCCTGTTTGGACCAGCGGTGAAGGAGTTCGCAGAGCGCTTCACCGAAGCCCGTAAGGACTCGCAGGCTATGCGTCACTTCCTGCCCAAACGAGCTAGCTCATCGCAGAGCCGCCAAAGGCCGCCTCAGCAGCAGCGAGCTAAGACGGCGCCTCCCGTCTCTCAGCCCAGACCTGAAACAGATTTTCGACGCCGCTCGCGCTCTGCCAACAGGAAGCAACCGCCCGAGCGACGGGGACCTCGGCCCAAGATTGTGCTGAACCCAGAGCCTCGTAAGTCCTCCTAGCTACAGGGAGAAAAAGGGGGAGCGCGTGTCTCGCAAGAGCCGGACCGTTCTCTCCAAAACGTTTAAAGCATTCCCAGTCCCCTTACAGGCGGCTGGAAATGTCTATACAGCAGCCAATGTGCCAGCAACACAGCTCGCCCACCTGCAAACAAATGCCGTTTTTACGGCGACACACAGAAATCACATAAAGAGCTATTTTCTGCCTGTGTCATTAAAGGGTCACGTATCCACACCAAAGTACGCATTCCCACATATCAAAACTGTCAACGCAGTGCCAAATGTTTTCCCAGCTCAAGCTGGACGCCCCATAAATGTAGATTGTGTGCCAACTGTCACGTATGCACCACTAAAGCACTGTTCCCACAGTTATAAACACTTCCCCAGTAAAAGCGGGAAGTTTTATAAGAGTGGCGCGTGTGCCCGCTGTTATGCATGCACCCCAACTCACAAACACTGTTTATATGACCAAAAACCTCCCGCCGCGAGCGGGAAGTTTTATGAAAGTGGCGCGCGTGCCTACCACAGTTTATGCACCCCCACCCATAAGCACTACCCATACAGTGTTAAACATTTCCCCATCTCGCTCTGTGAGCATTACGGCGAGCGTGCCTGTAATCTCACACACACCCCTGCACTCGGCATTCAACAAAGCTGCTCAGCGCGCGCCCGCGCCGCTCAGAGCTGTAAGCTCGACATTAGCGCAAGGCGATTCGCTGGCGGGAGCCATACGTCACTGCGACACGCCCCCAGCCAGCATTCAGCCCATATCTGTGCGAGCGAAAGCTTGGGAAAATATCCCCGACATGCCGAAATGGGTTTTGAACATAATAAAACACGGTTACTCGCTTCAATTCGCTCGCAGACCGCTCCGCTTCACAGCAGTGGTCGAGACGAAAGTGAGAGAAGATGTTTCACATGTTCTACGCACCGAGATGCTCAAACTGATAGAGAAAGGCGCTATAGAGACAGTCCCTCCCTCTATGAGCGAGGCAGGTTTTTACAGCCGCTATTTACTCGTCCCGAAAAAGGATGGCGGTCTCCGCCCCATTCTGGATCTCAGACATCTGAACAAAGCTTTAATGATTCGCTCGTTCAGAATGTTAACAACCAAACATATCCTCGCGCAAGTTCGCCCAGGGGATTGGTTTCTATCAGTGGATCTGAAAGACGCTTACTTTCACATTCCGATAGCGCCTCATCACAGGCCTTTTCTGAGATTCGCTTTCGAGGGACAGTCATACCAGTACACAGTACTACCATTCGGCCTGTCACTGGCACCCCGTACATTTACGAAATGTATGGATGCAGCACTTTCCCCCCTGAGACAGCGGGGAGTGCGAATACTAAATTATCTCGACGATTGGCTAATCCTAGCACAATCAGAGAGCCAGTTAGTGACACACAGGTCTTGGATTATCAGTCATCTAGATCGCCTGGGTCTAAGAATCAATTTTGCAAAGAGCAGGCTATCCCCCAGCCAGAATATTTCTTTTCTGGGAATAGTGCTAGACTCAGTGCAGATGACGGCGCGCCTCTCGTCAGAGCGCGCGCTCACTATCCGGCGCCTTGCAACATCGTTCAGAGCGGGTGCGCGCGCCCCCGTCAAGCGATTTCAAAGGATGCTCGGTCTCATGGCCTCAGCATCAGCTGTACTCCAGCTAGGATTGTTGCACATGCGTCCTCTCCAACGCTGGCTCAAAAGCCGTGTCCCCACTCACGCGTGGCGCTCGGGCCACTTTTTAATCAGAGCGAATCACGGCTGCATAAAAGCCCTGACGCCCTGGAAAGCTGTCGACTGGTATCAGTCCGGCGTGAGTTTGGGCGTGAACACAAGGAGAAAAATGATCACGACAGATGCCTCCAAAATAGGCTGGGGGGCCCTTTACAAGGGCAGGCCTGTCTCCGGCTTGTGGTCAAACCCGGCAAAGCGCCTACATATAAACTGTCTGGAATTGAAAGCGGTCGCTTTGGCTCTCAGAGCCCTGCTCCCGTACCTGAAGAATGAGCACGTCCTAGTCCGAACGGACAACATGACGGTAGTCTCGCATATAAATCGTCAGGGTGGACTCAGATCGAGCTCCCTGCACTCGATGGCCAGGGCGCTCCTCCTATGGTCCCAGCGCAACCAGCGCAACCTGAGCAGCGCATGTGCCAGGTGCTCTGAACCAGGGAGCGGACATGCTGTCCAGGGACAAAGTTCTCCCAGGAGAATGGTCTCTCCACCCCCTGACGATTCAGTGGTTATGGCAAACCTTTGGCAGAGCAGAGGTCGACCTCTTTGCCTCCAAGGAAAATGCGCACTGCCCTCTCTTCTTTTCAAAGAGCACAGACGCGCTCGCCCAAGTCTGGCCGAGCCGCCCGCTGTATGCCTTCCCTCCGGTCGCGATGCTACCTCAGGTCATCAGCCGGATCAGGGAGGAAAAATGTGCAGTGCTCCTGGTAGCCCCACTCTGGAAGAACCAGACGTGGTTTCCAGAACTGATGCAGATGATGAAATCTGCCCCATGGCCGATTCCACTGAGGCTAGACCTCCTCAGGCAGGCCAACGGGATGATCCTCCATCCCCGCCCCGATCTGTGGGCCCTCCATGCGTGGCCCCTCAACGGGTTCCCAGGAACCTCCCCAGTGGAGTGTTAAGAACCATCACTGAGGTGCGAGCACCCTCTACGAGGCGCTTATATGCCCAGAAATGGAAGGTGTTCAGTGACTGGTGTAAATCCAGAAACCTGAACCCTGAGTCATGCGAAGTACCGAGTGTGCTCGCTTTCTTACAAGAGCTGTTGGAGGCAGGCCGCACCCCCTTCACGCTCAAAGTATATGTGGCTGCCATAGCAGCATCGCACGACCCTGTGGAAGGACGCACACTAGGAAAAAACTACCAAGTCGTTCGTTTCCTGAGGGGCGCCAGGAGGATAAATCCCCCACGCCCCCCCTCGGTGCCGATCTGGGACCTGGCCACGGTCCTGGACGCACTCAAGCGTGCCCCGTTCGAACCCCTCCGAACTGTGCACCTTAAACAGCTCTCGCTCAAAACTGCTCTCTTGCTGGCTCTCGCCCCGGTCAAGAGAGTGGGCGACCTGCACGCGCTGTCGTCAAGCGCTGCCTGCCTGGAATTTGGACCTAACGACAGCAGGGTTGTCCTCAGGCCAAAACACGGGTATATTCCGAAGGTGCTCTCTACACCTTTCAGAGCACAGGTGATATCTTTGGCCGCGCTATCGTCTCCAGCAGACGAAAGCGACGCTAATTTACTCTGCCCGGTCAGGGCGCTCAGAGTATATTTGGAACGTTCTGCCCTGTTCAGACAGACAGAGCAATTGTTCGTATGCTTTGGCGGCCGCACCAAAGGTCTCGCTGTTTCAAAGCAGAGAATATCGCGCTGGATAGTTGATGCTATAGCGCTGGCTTATGAAGCCAAGGGCCTTCAGTGCCCCTTGGGCATCAGAGCTCACTCTACGAGAGGCATGGCCTCCTCGTGGGCGTGGTCGAGTGGGATACCCATTCAAGATATTTGTGCGGCAGCAGGCTGGGCCTCACCGTCAACATTTATCAGGTTTTATAACCTACAGGTCCCCTCATTGCACTCTAACATACTGTCGGTCTAACTATGCATAGGCTGGGGTGTGTACATGCTGAGCGCTGTCTCCTCCCTCATAGAATCCGTCTCTGACTGATGTAGAGGATTTTTCATACATGACAATACATAAAAATGTGCTTGTGTGTTTCTCTGGACGCCCATTGGGCCGTTCCACGTTGTCCTTTGTAAAGCCCGCCTTCGGCTGGCTCGTTGGATAATTACTTTGCTTAAAGGCTCAGGCATCTGCCTCCGGCTTAATAGAGCGAAGTCAGCACGCACGGCGTTTTACATGGCGTTCCCATACCGTAAGCTTCTTACGCAATAAGAGGAACCTCTCGAAAGGGAACGACTCGGTTACTAACGTAACCTCGGTTCCCTGAGAAGAGGGAACGAGTATTGCGTAAGCTGCCGTGCTTGTGCTTGGTCAGTTTGCTTCAGTCGATTGAATCTAAAGAACTCAGATGACGGGGCGCTCAATATATAGCCCTTGGCCACGCCCATCTTGGCGGGCTCTGACGCGCGTAGGCGCGAAGCACGCTCATTGGAAGCGGGTTCAGAGTCGCCCCGTCATAGGTTCGTGCAGTTGCTGCAGCACAGCCAATGACCGAGCTGCCTCGCTCATTGCTGTATGCTGTGCAGCTGCAATGCGTTTTACATAAAGACTTCAATATTTCTCGAGAAAAGGAGTTTTCCCATAGCGTAAGCTTCTTACGCAATACTCGTTCCCTCTTCTCAGGGAACCGAGGTTACGTTAGTAACCAAGTCGTTGTCCTGCTCTTGCGGCGAAAAACACGAGAAAAGAAGAGATGTCAGTGTAAGAGAGAGGGGAAGTTGTTTTGATAAAAAATTACAAGGGTATATGAATTATCAAAAAAATATGATGTGTAGGGGTGGGAATCTTTGGTCACCTCACGATCCGATCCGATTCCGATTCTGGGAGTCACGATCCGATTCCAGAACGATTCTTTATCTACCTTTCCCCCCCTTATTAATTCATTAGTTTACATAAGTAATTAAGTACTTTTAAAAAAAAAATTACAAATTAATTTTTTTTTATTAAAACAGTTCTATGTTAAGAAATTTAAACTAATATAACAAATAATAAAGAGGAGCATCGAAAAATATAACTTACAACAAACAAAAAGAGCTTTCAGTAGCCTATAGATTATCTGAACGTCTTCCATTCAAGAACTGTGAGTGATTTTTCTTCATCTTTACTGTTGTTTTTTACTATGACATCATAGACTGCGGGAGATCTATTGAGCTGTATTCACGCACGCATCTCTTTTGAACTAAAAGAAGTAATGCGGTGTGTCCTGTCCGTTTAATCCCTTAAGACAACTGGCTGTGTTTACGTTAATTTTGCACAAGTACATTAAATCACTACACGGAGTCGCACAGCCACATGCGCGAGTAGTCTCACAAACAAAGCGCGCGTCAGCATTTGAAATTGAAAGCAGCCTTCTGTTAGTGAGGTTCATATTTTAAATATATAAGTCCACTGCATTCCAAACCACATAAATGATGACTTCGTAGACCATTTGTAAGGAAAATACCGACGGGCGAGACAGCACACTTCAAGTTTAACATCAAAGAAAGCGCGCGTCTCTCACAGCGTGTGCAATGAAGCCTGTGAATGTCCTTGTAATTCGCTTCAACCTTTCCGAACTTTATGAAAGATTATTTTACGGAAGGTTCGAGTGGTGTATGTGTGTGAGGAATTGGAATCAAGCAGAATACGGGTGTTTCTAAACCAAACGTCATCGCACATCTGGTTAAAACTAAGCTCAGAATCGATTCTGGAATTCTCAGAATCGATCCAGAATCGTTGGAGAGAGAATCGCGATGCATCGATGGATCGATTTTTTCTCCCACCCCTAATGATGTGCACGAATAAATCATTTATAATAAATACTACAGTTTTCCATTAAAAAACAAGTATTGTCAGTTTTGATTTCATGGTGACTTTCGTGGTGGAAGACATAAGTTGTCTTTCGGTGCAAAAAGTTTGGTTTTCAAACTGAAACAGCAAAGGTTGGTGATGCCATACCAAGGGCAGGTTCAGTCTGTACGTCTGTATAGGCCCTAACAAAGTCCTCAACATCTTCAGGGAGAAACAGACTGGGCTGGATGAAGGTGAGGAGGGAATAGACTTCTTGCAAGTTATTCTGAATGGGAGTGCCTGTCAACAGCACTCGAAAACCCACTGTAAACTGAGAAAAAGCAGAAACCAGATGGCAGTTAATATCAGGGGAAAGCTGAAAAATTGATAGGCAGTGCTCAGTTTATTATCATGGGTTTTACACTCTTGATAGTGACAATAAAAACATTAAAGCATGCCTATATTAAAATGCAATCGTGTAACCTGTTTGAGGGTTTGGTGCAGCAATGATTCCTGGTTCTTCAGCCTGTGAGCCTCATCAACAACTAAAATCTTCCATTTCCAGCTGTGAGAAGAGAGTGGAGTGGTACAGTTGAATTTGAATCAAAATTTGATACCGTCGCTGATACCGATAAGCTGATAATTATTTTATGCCATGGCCAATAACTGATAAATGTCACCAAAAAAAAAATCTACACTTATGTAAAAAAAAAAACACATTAAAAAACACTACAAAAACAATTATTACTAATTAGGTTTCAAAAAGATTAACTTTAAGTGTTAGATGACAGCAAAGGTAATTTTAAAAATAAGGTAAATGAGCATGAACAATTTAACATTTAATATCCAAAATCGACCAATATATCTCCAATTATCGCAGATAACAAAAAAATAAAAAAGCTTTAATATCACCCAATAATCGATATGGTATCAATATGGTCATTTTATTACACGTAAAATGTCTGTGTAGCAGAATTCTGTAAATATACATATTTTTTTATAAAGTTTCATAATATATCTGTTCACCAACATAGATCACCTTTTCAGGAATCTGGCATCCTTGAGGCACATCTATTAAATATGAGAAAGATTTCACATTAAAAACAGTGCAAAAACGTTTAAACCTTTTGAATGTAGTAATCGTGCATTTATCCTCTAAAAAAAGTGCACTAACCTCATAGGTGGTGAGAAGAACATGGAAGCTTTTGCCATTCTTGAGCTCTACCTGGAGCTCTGCCCTTCTCTCTTTATCCCCAGTGTAATAGAGCACAGAAAGACTGGGACAGAAGCTGAATGAAAAAGAAAGTAAGAAAACCTTGACTAATCTTACATGTGAAGCTTATATTGCATTCAAGGTAGATACTAATCCAGAGTTTATATGCTACTGTCTCCATCTAGTGACAGTGACAACATATTGTCTTTCAGGTCAAATCAGTTCATGCTGGATTATTCACATTCATTGGGTGGCATATACACTCACCTAAAGGATTATTAGGAACACCTGTTCAATTTCTCATTAATGCAATTATCTAATCAACCAATCACATGGCAGTTGCTTCAATGCATTTAGGGGTGTGGTCCTGGTCAAGACAATCTCCTGAACTCCAAACTGAATGTCAGAATGGGAAAGAAATGTGATTTAAGAAATTTTGAGCATGGCATGGTTGTTGGTGCCAGACGGGCCGGTCTGAGTATTTCACAATCTGCTCAGTTACTGGGATTTTCACGCACAACCATTTCTATGGTTTACAAAGAATGGTGTGAAAAGGGAAAAACATCCAGTATGCGGCAGTCCTGTGGGTGAAAATGCCTTGTTGATGCTAGAGGTCAGAGGAGAATGGGCCGACTGATTCAAGCTGATAGAAGAGCAACTTTGACTGAAATGTTATTAATGTTATTGGACTGAAATGTTGACTCGTTACAACCAAGGTATGCAGCAAAGCATTTGTGAAGCCACAACACGCACAACCTTGAGGCGGATGGGCTACAACAGCAGAAGACCCCACCGGGTACCACTCATCTCCACTACAAATAGGAAAAAGAGCCTACCTGAGCATTGTTTCTGACCATGTCCATCCCTTTATGGCCACCATGTACCCATCCTCTGATGGCTGCTTCCAGCAGGATAATGCACCATGTCACAAAGCTCGAATCATTTCAAATTGGTTTCTTGAACATGACAATGAGTTCACTGTTCTAAAATGGCCCCCACAGTCACCAGATCTTCTCAACCCAATAGAGCATCTTTGGGATGTGGTGGAACGGGAGCTTCGTGCCCTGGATGTGCATCCCACAAATCTCCATCAACTGCAAGATGCTATCCTATCAATATGGGCCAACATTTCTAAAGAATGCTTTCAGCACCTAGTTGAATCAATGCCACGCAGAATTAAGGCAGTTCTGAAGGTGAAAGGGGGTCAAACACAGTATTAGTATGGTGTTCCTAATAATCCTTTAGGTGAGTGTAGTTTCATAGTCCCAATAAAGTAACAAATCAAAATGTTTAAAGTCATCATGAAACGGAAGTTGCGATAGTCTTTTCTTCTCTATTGTGATGCATATCCAAGAGGCTTCTCTAAAATGAAAAAAAATTAGCTCAGGACTTGATTTTGTCTATAGGGAGTTGATTGGATGGTTGTAGTTTGCTATGGCTGTGATCTCATGTGAGTGACAGTTTGCCACATCTTTGTATTTCATGCAGTGACTTTAATACACCGACCACACAAGTCTGATCATACATTAGTATCCCTTACCGTTCCAACTCTTGTCTCCAGTTCTCCAAAACTGATAAGGGACAAAGCACAAGGAATGGTCCGTTCATCTTAAGACATCCTCGAGCATATGCCAGCAAAGAGATGGTCTACAGCAGAGGATGACATCACACTTATCTGATATATGACATCTTGGAATAAATCTTTGGCTTAAAAGGAAGCAAGCAAGATAAACCCATAACATTACTAACCTGACAAGTCTTGCCCAGACCCATCTCATCACCAAGGATGCAGCCCTCCTGGATCTCCATGCACTGTGACAGCCACCTAACTCCATCCACCTGATAAGACCTCAGATTAATAGCTGTTAGGAAGGAGATAAAGTGCTGTTGTGTTTGTTTGTAAGAAAACATTTAGAAAATTTCAAACCATAAAATGGACATTCAAAGCCACTTTTCTCACTGGTCAAATTAATGAGGCACATGAAAAGCTAATCATGCCTAAAAATGTTGTGCGATGAAATGGATTCCTTTGGCATTGCCATTGGTGCAATTTCAGTATCACTATTAATAGACAAGATGAGGAAACATGGCATGATGATTAACTGCACAAATGTACTAAATGAAATTTGAGTAATAAAAAGGATAATTTACTGGAATCAAGTCATGTGCTGGAAATATACAAGTATTCAGCACTCAATTGTGCTCAAGAACTTACATACCATCTAGGGATACTATTGAGATAAGCACCTTATTAGGATGAGACACTGAAACTATAGTTAAATCTATGAACGTAACTCTAAAAAATATCTTTATTAATATTACACGTCGTTTGTGAAATATTGTCATACATTGAATCTTAAATTGGAATATAAATATTTTTCCGTGTTTTTTTTAAAAACATATTAGCTTCTCATTCCCTCACCTCCAAGTCCCCATTTTTTCAGGTCACTCTCCGTTAGTTCCGATTTGTCCTTTTCTGGTATGTTGCTACTGACAGCTTGAAGAAATATTGACATTGTTGTGGTTTAATTACGTTTTCCTTAAACTCTCTAAATTTCGACACTTTATTCAGTCGAATATTAAAGTTATGTTAGGTTGCGCGCGCCAGAGGAGTTTGAGAACTACTTCCTGCAACAGTGAGTGGGCGTGCACAAGACATACGTTGTCCAATGAGTAGTCGGCAATGCAATTACGTATGGTCCACTTTAAAGGCGCCAGTGATAAAAAGAAATAAAAAAATATAAAACACTTTTTTTTTAAAATATACTGTATGAAAGGAAACAAAATGACAAAAATGATCTGATAAAACTTTACTTTATTTACAGGATGATATCATTATACAATATAAGGCAGAGAAAAATAGAAAGTGCAACTTTCAAAAGCCACCCCCAAAATATTTGCTTTTATAAATATCCCTTTTCAGGTATCTTAAAATATTTCCTAACTATTCTACAACATATTTAAAATAAAGCACCTTCAGTAAAAAGGAGTATTATTCTTTATGTTCAGAGTTAAGAAAATGCCATTAAAACTAGCAGTGTCCCATTGTGCCATTCTGTCAATGATGTTTTGATGATCCCGGAATCACAAAATACTTGACCAGAAAGTATCTGGAGTGGTGAAAGGCCAAACCTCGCCTTGTCATTTCACACATGTGTGGAACAGCATTGAGAAAAACTTCAGGATGGCATCTCTGGTAAAGGAAAAGAGAACGTAAGGCCTTTTAAAAGATTGCTAACAGACTCAATATTCTAAAGCAGCCAGGTCCAAAAAAGCCTGTGCATGATTACTGCTGTCATTTACCAGATCTACCTATTGCAAAATAATTCACATTTGTCAATGTCAATCTGACTGTTAATATCTAATGCTGTGCAATTCCAGACTAACCTTGCGAAAGGAATGTAAGACAGGCTATACCTATAGAGAAGAAAAAAGTTAATTGATAAAATGTATTTCAGTACAATGATAAACACTGGATGCTGTGCTACTGGTTTAAAAATATACTTAAAATATTTACTGCAATGTGTCAATGGAAACTTACCATGCAAATGCAAGGACTTGCAGAATGACAAACAGCAACGTGAGTGCAAAGATCTTCCACTGTGGTACAGAGATTAGTGTTAATAAAAAGTTAAAATAATACTGTATTTGATTCAGAGTTGGTTTGAAATATACAATACAGATGGATTAGAACTCACCCAAAAAGCTGCACAGAGTGTGAGAACCAGACATGTCTATAGACCAAACAATGAAAAGTGGAACTCTTAATACTAATCATAATCAAAAATAATTAATACTAATACAAATAATTCATACTAATAATCAAAAATACTGTATCTGTAATCAGAATCTGTATTTGCTGTAAATGGCAGATATCTAAAGGCTGCACGTAAACTAAAATAATATTTTTTCTTGTGCATCTGATTTGTTTTTGAGATAATGGTTATTTAAAAAAATACTTTCAAAATGAGATGTAGCCTATATCCAAATTAAACAGGATATTTAATGAGAAAACACAATGCAGCATGAAAATTATTAACATTATTATCACCATACTCCCCTCTTGGTGACATTGTCTAAAAAAGTTAGTTGTTTCAGGTGGTAAAACTTTTTTAGTTAAAAGATTACAAGGAAAAACACATTTTAAATGTGCACAGATGAACTGTTTACAATAACACCAAGAACATGCATTAAAAAGTAAAAAAAAAAAAAGCATGAAAAATGCAAAGTAAAAATTCTCCTTTACTTTAAACATATTTGTATATAAAAACAATAAAAATATTCTGCAAATACAAAGACTCTTCTAACATGTCTGCATTATTTTCACAATAAGATTATCTTTTTTTTTTTGAGGAAAAAAAGGAATAACTCACTATCATAACAATAGTAGCAAAGGCTCTGGTCTTGTCACACATGCGTTTCAGCTGTTTTAATGGTCCCATCAAAAACATTGTGCTGTGGGGGTGGATTCAAATTAAACAGAGAAGTCAGTATTGTCTCAAAGAGAAAATTCAAATAAAATAATACAAAGTTAGTACATTTAACTTGCTATAGCTTGTTGACCGACCTTACTAAGGAGCATATGTTGCCCAATGTGTAAAACACAATGAAGAGAATCAATCCTATTTTGGGAATAAATAGGCAACATACTCCCTGATAAAAGAAAGAAAGAAAAGGCTAGTTATTAATATAATGGTACTTAATAGTCACAAAGTTATACCAAATAAAACTAGTTTCTTTCCTAAACTTCTCACTCAAAATACTTGGATACAGCAAAATGGCATCAAATACGCATTCCTGAGAGCAGGTCAAACCGGTGACACAGCTCTGCTTCTAAACATATTTCTCCAACTCATCGCCTATCCCTTCTCAACAGAAAGGAAGTTACCTGTGTGTAAAATCTCGATTATAATCAAAATAAGGTTGATTAAAGTTTAAGTCACTGACCAGGATCGTGCACACAACACCGATGACCATACAGGCGAGGAATCCTTTCAGACGCGGCCCCCATCCCAGCGTGGACGCTTCATTCGCCGCCTTGAGTGAATGGAACAACAGACAACTGAGATTTAGGCTACATGGTTTTGTATTATCTTAATGAAGATTTATAGCAGACCACAGTTCCTTACCTGCAGTATATTTCTGTTGTCATTGTTTCCATCACGACCACCCAGAACCGCTCTGAGTTTGTCCATGACTAAACATTCAATTCTCTGTATTAACTGAATCAATTCACTATAAATCCCAGAGAATGTGTTGTTGTCACATCGTCCAGCTGGCACTCACTCGACATCACTCGTGCTCACCTTTGCCTTCTAGGCTGCTTTCAATGAACATTATCACATTTTGCTCAAGCACGCCACCTACCTTCTGAAGTGCACTAAAAGTAGCTTAGTATATAGAGTATGAATGATGATAGTCAGTGTTTTTTCGTGTTACTGGAACACTTATTGAGAGACAATTTCTTTCATTCGTTAATTCGTGCATTCTTTCTTTCCATCCATCCATCCATCCATCCATCCATCCATCCATCCATCCATCCATCCATCCATCCATCCATCCATCCATCTATCTATCTATCTATCTATCTATCTATCTATCTATCTATCTATCTATCTATCTATCTATCTATCTATCTATCTATCTATCATTAGTTGGGTCTTTGAACTATTCAGAAAGAGAAATATATGGAAAAATATGTGAATACCAGCACGTCAAATACATAGCAATTAATATAAATACAGTCACTGCACACTGAAAAAGTTTTGTTTTTAGAAAATGTATTTATCAAGTCAAATTAAATTATTCAATAAATGCATGTGATAAAATACAATAATGTCAAGATTCCACATACAATGGCCAATCCTGTTTTTTTCCTCTCCCTTGTCTTTTCCAAAGAATACAGTGGAACAAACACAAAAGACTAAGAAATAAACGAACACAAAAGACTAACTGAGGAATTGTAATGGCTGTCAAGAATTGTCAAGAAAATACAAAAGTATCATTATTTGATGACTGAGAAGTGACTTAAAAAAAACCCAAATCCTAGGGCCATTAAAACATAATTATTTCAGCATGTAGATCATATAGTGCCATTAAAAACAATATGATTAAAATATGATATTCCCTTGAGTGACAACATATAAAATACTGACAAGGCACACAAAGAAAATACTCAAATTTACACAGTAATGTGTCAAAGAGAAAATTATGTAATGCCAACAAATAGTCTACGTAATGACCCAATAATAATCAATACATAATATTTGATTGACTTAATCCAAACTTGTATAGAAAAAAATCAAGTGTGAACTAACTTCTCAGGGGTTGATCCTGAGGTGCATCAGTGAAATGAAGTGGAAGTGAGATAATGAAATAAAAAGGAATGACCACAAAAAGATAAGACTGTTGTAACTGGAGTGATCGTACTGGGATCATGCGAGAGATTTAACACTATGGCTCTTGTGATTTACTCAGAGTCACTTGTTGCAATTTGATGAAAAAAATCTTGGGAGGCAAGACTGCCACTGTTTGTCATCTCTCATCTGCTCTTCAGAAGATTAAGACAAAGCTAATATTTAGTGACAATGCCTCGACTGTTACTATCTATCTCTCACTCTCTGTCTCCATATTTTTCTTTGGTCTGAGGCCCAAATGAATTGGGATGCAGGGTTGAACGTGTAAAGATGATAAACACTCATAACATCTCGTCTTCAGACTCTACTTCCTTGTCCCTTGGTTTCAAAAGCCCCATTTCCATGGGTGGCATCCTCCTCAATCTGGAACGCACAGCACTGGGGGGAGAACAATGAAGGCAAACGAAAAGGAATTCAATAAATCTCGCATACAGAAAGGAAATTCCATAAAACAATATGATTTCATATGCAATATACATACACTACAAAAGTTTGGGGTTGGTATGTTTTTTTATGCTCACCAAGGCTGTATTCAATCAAAAATACAGAACAAAAATCATGTTGTGAAAATTATTACAATTTAAAATAACAGTTTTCTATTTTACTAAATTTTAAAAAGTAATTCATTCCTATGATGGCAAAGCTGAACTGTCTTCAGTGCCACATGATTCTTTTGAAATCATTCTAATATGCTGATTTGGTGCTCAAGAAACATTTCTTATTATTGTCAGTGTTGAAAAAGCAGTTGTGCTGCTTAATGTTGTTGTGGAAATGCACATAATTTTTTTCTCATCTTTGATGAATATAAAGATCAAAAGAACAGCATTTATTTAAAAATATAAATCTTTTGTAACATGATACTCTAGATGTATTTACTTGTCACTTTTGATCAGTTTAATGCATCCTTGTTGAATAAAAGTATAAAAAAAATGTAAAGTACTGACCCTAAATTTTTAAAAGGCATTTAATGTTCCTTTAGATCAAATTTAGGTTTGTGTATTTCATGTTAGAATGGATAGAATATGTTGTGCTCACCATAGAACAGACCAGTACACTACAGCTACAGTGAACAATGCAAACGCGAGGTGCCAGCAGTAGCATAATGTGACAAACATAACATTGCCATGGTCTGTCTGATCCCATTTCACTTGACTGGGTGGGTACAGCACGAAGCCAATCTAGAAAAATACATGAAAAAAAAAGAGTTAAACAGTGTTGAGTCAAAATGACTTAAATACACACACATTATGTATGCACTTAGGCACATACACATAGGCACACACACTGACCTGCCAAAACCAGCTGCCCTGCAGTACGGTGAGAGTGGCTCTGAATAGTTCTAGTAGAATATTCCCCCTGTGGAAAACCTCCAGAAGGCAGATGAAAGCTTGTCCAAAGATGGCATAAAGTAGAAGAGTGTGCACATGGACATCAAGCAGGTCTCTACCATGGAGATGATAAAGGAACAGAAATCCTGCAAGAGGCAAACATATACTTTCAATTTTATGTGTTGAATTAACACAAAAATAGAAAATCAGGATTTTCAAGAGTAACAAAGAGTGCTCAATTTAGGTAAACATTCACACATTCTCTAACATTAAAAATGTGTTTACAAAACACTCTTTCACATGAAATCAATATGGGGTAAAATCAAGAACATACCCTCATTAAAGAAAGCAAGACCCAACAGCATTCGGTCTAAAGCCAAAGGGGCGATGTCTGTGCTGTGGACAGTGAGAGATATGGCCCCTGCGATGGCAAAGAACAGGTACATGGTGGTGTGCTGCCAGTTCATCAGCTGCTCCCAGTGCTGAGTGGAAGAATCGTACAGTTGAAACTTGGGCCCACCTGCTAGAAGCTGCTCTGCTAACATACCTATGTAAATGGCAGAAGAAAAACAAATATAACAAGCAGCAATTACGGGGCCAAGCGCCACAGCCTCTGTGAGCATTCTGCCTCAGAATGATGAGCTAGAAATCAAGGAAGCGGGCATCAGACCAACTGCAAAATCGAGTGAAGACATTTGGAGACGATTTTAAGCAAAATGGTTGAAAGCCCATAAATACAATGACTTGTAATGTGACCTAATTGCTTATTACTTTTGACCAATTGGTGGCACTGACACCAAATTGATCTGGTCCAATTTTTGAGGATTTATTTTTGGTGAGATTTTTGGTCAAACTGTTCAGAAGTTTACAAGCAAACGTTTTTTTTTTCTTTCATATTCCGTGACCACTAGGTGGCAATGTGTCAAAACTGAGAGATAGTCTCACGTCCATTTTGGCGTGCTCGCTCGCATGTTATTCAAGAACAGTTTGACAAATCAACTTGATATCCACGTTTTTTCCCCCCGTGGTCTGAAGATGATCTCAATTTTGATGAGAATTGGACGAACCGTCTAGGACAGGGATGGGCAACGTCGGTCCTGGAGGGCCACTGTCCTACAGAGTTTAGCTCCAACCCTGAAAAAATCACCTGCCTGTAACTTTCTAGTAATCCTGAAGACCTTGATTAGCTTGTTTAGGTGTGTTTGATTAGGGTTGAAGCTAAACTCTGTAGGACAATGGCCCTCCAGGACTGAAGTTGTCCATCCCTGGTCTAGGACGAGTTTGAAAAAGTAGGTTTTTCTGAATGCTGCAATCAAATAGCATTGAACCAAGTAATCAGAGGAAAAAAGAATCATGTTTCTAGCCCTTATGGTTAAAACATTATTAGCATGAAGTGAAACTTTGGGCAGTTTGTGGCGCTATAGGGATTGGGTTAGAGACTCCAAAATTGCTGTGGTGAATGTTCAGACTGTCCACTGTGTGCCAAATTTCACAACTCTTTACCATACGGTGCTTTCATAAATTTGCTCACTAGGGGGGCTCAAGAATAAAATAAGGTAAAATAAGACAAAACAAGCATTAAAATAAACTGAAACACTAAACATCAAGATATTTCTTTTTCAATTGACCTTTACACATGAAAAACCTTAATATAAAAGGAAGCTGCAGTTTTATTAATTTTATGAATATACATTTTTCTAGTTAATCCAAGCTGTATTTGACTGGCAAGAAATTGTGAGTAGAAAATATTTTTACAAATATTTATCCTTAATCCTTTGAATATTGTTGCTGACAATTGGGGCCTTGGAGTCAAAACGGTTGAGAATCACTGGTTTTATAGTAAAACCTATAATTTATAAGCAAACTTTTTTTTTTACACCGTAAAAAAAAAAAAAAAGGTTCTTAAAACCAAATGTATTTCTTTGCTGATTCTAAGATGCTTTAAATACACATTTGACAACCTTTATTTGTCTACATCAATAATGAAACCTCTCATTATATTGACAAAAGCATGGCAGCAACTCACCAATAATAGAAAATGATAAAATGACAGCTCCTTCTATGATTTCTATGCGGCGTTGTGTAGCTCGAGATGCAAGTCTTCCCGCACCAGCACTTTTGTTCCTGCGGGTGCCGTACAAAAAGGTCTGCTTTGAGGCCCACCACAGACCAGTGATCAGGAAGAAACTTCCAGGCAATGCATGGCCTTTAAAACTTCCCATGATTTCCTGGAAATAAGAATAACAATTTTATTTATTGATAATAAATAAATAAAAACTACAAAACCAAAATACCTCATAATATTATTAATTCTACTTCATAATATATCAAAATGTTCAGTGCCAATTAAAGCAAAAGACAATGTTTACTGGATTTGTTTAGTAGATTTTATATATATATATATATATATATATGTGTGTGTGTGTGTGTGTATTATATGTGTGTATTAAGACAAAATGAGAGACTTCGAGAGACACTTTTTCATCCTCAGGACTCGACTGGCATATCAATACAAGATCTCACATCACTTCTGGCACTGATTTTGTGGTATCACTTTACAATAGGGTTTCATTAGTTAATGTATTACCTAACATGAACTAACATTGAACAAAACATTTGTTTAATGTTAGTTAAAAATACAGCTGTTCATTGTTTGTTCATGTTTGTTCACAGTGCATTAACTAATGTTAACAAACACAACTTTTTAATTTTGATAATGCCTTAGTAAATGTTCAAATTAACATTATCTCCCAAAGTCCATCTTCCATGGGGAGTTAGCTGTGGGACACCGCCCTCGTGCCCGACCCAAGCTCCGCTTTAAGGATGTCGTCAAGCGGGACATGAATGTCTTTAACATCAACCCTGACCGATGGCATCACCTTGCGGAAGACCGGGCAGCTTGGCGGTCTGCTCTGCTCGGACTCTGTCCTGCCATGCTTACACCAGTTTTTGCACAGAAAGACGGCATGTTAGACACCGTTCAGATCGGCGCTTGCGCTGTAAAAGGCCTTGATGATGAGTTAACTAATGAATCCTTATTGTAAAGTGTTACCGATTTTGTTACACCAGGATGGCATATAGCATATTTATTGCCTTCCTGAACAATCAAGCAAGTTGATTTGTACTTGACTGAACTTTAATTTTGTGTTTAACATTTAACTTTAAAGATCAATAGTATCAACTATTTTTATTCTTATCAGTGAACGTAATCAAAGCAGTACATAAGGAAATTATAGGAATGGCATGTTCCTCCTTTTCTCTTTGGAGGATGATTTCTGAGTAATATTTAAACAGGCTGATCAGTACTTGGCCTCAATGTCATTCAGGTCCCATGACAATCAAAAGGAAGGTGGTCATCACTGCCATAATCAGATGTGTGAGTGTCTAATCAGAGTGTGTCCATGAGACCAAGACCTTTTATCGGATAAAAAATTGCTTTCAGATTTGCTTCAAAATTGCTCCTGTTTACAATTGCTTTCCTAAAGAAATCTAAATTTAAACACGAGAAAAGGAGGCTATGCAACAGCTGCAATAAGGCAGACACAGCAAGCTCATAATGATCAAATGGGGGGAAATAAATCACAGTGATGGTAATAATGAGTTTGAGATAAAATCATATTACATAGACTTTATGCATCTGCAATACTTATTTCAACAGAGGGTCTCAAATGTTGTTCTTAAAATTACATTTCTGTCATCATTTTCTCAACCACATGTTGTTCCAAACCAATTCTCCTTTTGAGAGTGAGGAAAGAAATTCATACAGACATGAGGGTGAGAACATTTTTTTCATTTTATTGTGCACTATATGACAATGAAAATCAAGGCAATGAGTAGCATCTCTGCAGCTTTGATCTAAACACACTGTTTTTCAGGATGCTCTGCTGTTACCATAGAGACAAACTAAAGCTTTGAGAGTCTCTCCAGTGAAGAGGCCCGATGCTTTCATGTATTTATGACTACATAAGGACGACATTTTTTGGAATTGTACATAAAAACAAAGTCCCTTTTGTCTGAACCAAAAAATAATACAAAAAGAAACCGCAGTGCACTTTTAGGCTACACACACACACAGACACACACACAAAATAAGATGTAAAAATACAAATATGGTATAATAGCTTATCCTGCAGGTTTCACGAAAGGATGACACAAATACATAGGCTTTTTAAAATAGTTTAAAACCTTACCTGAAAAACGATTCAGTAGCCTACACCGTAATGGCTTTAACAACTTTAACTTTAGGCTACAATGTTTATTGGATAAAGGTCTCTGCGATTTCACTTTAAATGGACTTAAGAGAAAAAGCCTTGTGGGTCCGTTATTTCTTTAAGAAATAAAAGTGGAAATAATAACTTCATTTAGGCACAGTAAGTGGTCTGAAATATGATTTAAGAGTTCTTACCTTATCGATTGACCAAATAATTAGGATAGTCTTGGAAAAAATAAGAAGGGACCTCACACTCGATGTTTTTCTCGAGTGTCTGCATTTGATGCTGTAACAGTTCACGAAAAATTTTCAAACATCCTTACACGGTTAATTTTAGTCCCTCTTGACCATCATCACTTTTTTCCATCAGGAATTTACGTATCAACTTCTTTTCCACTTTTCCAGCTGTTTCGCAACCAGATTTGTGGGGTTGATCTTTTTCAGAGCGTCTTCCTAAGGGAACCTCCCATTCCACCAACGATTCGTTCATGAAGCCACTAAACGTCATTGTTTTTGAATTTGATTGGTTAGTTCACCTGTCAATCAACAGTTGGTCTCTTTTCCACGTGTGCATTTTTTTTCTGACCGAAGCAGTCTAGACTCCACTAGGCTACAATACAAGGAAATGTGAGTCCAGTGGTTTAAGAAACTAAAAGTAGGCCTATAGTTATTAAAAATGTATTAGTGTATTTTTTTTTTTTTTTGCTATGTTTTTACATATTTTGAAAACCTTGACAAATCAATTATTGTGAATAGACAGACAGACCACAATTTATTAAAATAGAAAACTATTTGGTAGGCAACTTTGCGAGAAAATATAATAGGCTATGCTTGCTAAACACTAACGTTTTTTTGCTACAAAAGTTGAATAATATTTTGCTGACAAGACATACTGTTTTATAAGACCAGTATTCAAAGAGTTTAAATGGGGTTTTACTGTTTTTATTTTTATTTTTTATTTTTTTCATTTAAAAGTGTACAGTAGGGCGGGACACGTAGCCTACGTGCACAAAGGCACGGTCCCTCCTGACAACGGAGAGAAGAACATAATTTCATCTATCTAACTGTATTCATTATTTATTTCACAGTTTATAACGTGTACTCACTTACATAGAAATTGAATGCAACTAAATAACATCCTACCAAATCTATAAATTCATTGAATGCATTTAAACTAATAACATCCTACCAAATCTATAAATGCAATCTGTTTAGTAAAAACAAAGCAATGACACAAAACAATGATGTCAAAATAACAGCACTATATAAAAACGTTGCAACAATGTATGCTTGGTATATTTGTGTAAACTCTTAAATTAATTTTTAAATATTTAATTCAAAGTATGGTTGTACAAACAACATATTCTACATCTTTGGGGCTTATATTTACATTTCTGATCAGAAACATCACAATACATTGGACAGAGTCTAAAACTCTCTGCCTTTGAATTTGGCATGTACGTTAATGGGTAATGCAGATGTGCATTTTGTGCAATACACAAAAGTGGAGAGATGGAATAAAAACAAAAAGGTTGTATACATTTAGCATGCAGTTTTCAGTCTAGCCAAAAATGTCCTCATGAAAATAAGCAAGACAGAGAGAAAAGGAGGGTAAGGAATGCATAGAGCTGAGGCTCTTGAGAGTCAAATAAAGATGCCCATCCATTATACTCATATAGGCCTAACTTAGACAGTGTGTGCAAGTAACAGACCATATAATCATGCAGGATTGCTACACACACTCGCCTGTACTTAATTTAAGTCTTCAACCCATGCCTCCACCCAGAGATGATGGTCTTGTTTTGTTTTTATTTACATATAAACACACTAAATCAGTGCCCGGGGTCACGGGAAGCAGACAGACATGGAAAGTGAAGAAATATGGACATTTTCAGGGAAACTGGACAGGAGCACAGGGCCAGTAGAGGGGCTCAAACATGGTCACATGAACTCGACAGGTGGGACATGACTGTCTCTGCCAAAGCCATTTCTTAATGTACTGTAAGAAAGGAAAGCCATATTATGGAGGGTCATTCATTGTCAAGGTGTGGCTGTATATAAAAATGGAAAACCATTGGAACATGCATCTAAACATGCTAGAATACTGTAACAATTATTCCTTTTAAAGAACTGCAAGAGTTTACTGATAAGTTGATCTATACACTCACAGATAAAAGTTTTTTATTATTCCATGAACAACCTTTAAAATTCATAGAACCTTTCCACTGCATAAACGGTTCTTTATTGTGGAAAAAGGTTCTTCAGAATATTAAAAAATTCTTCACACTGAAAAAAAGGTTCCTCCATGGCATAACTGAAAAAAACCACTGAAACCTTCATTTTTAATTAAATGCTTAGAATATTTTTTGTTGTTGATTTTTTTGACAAATATACAGTACATTACTAAAACAAAGACTGGTAGTTTGTGACATAAATGCTAAAAAAAACAATGTTAAATGAAACGTTATGTTTATTCTACAAAATTTGTATATATAGCCTAAATCTTTACCCAATTTTCTATGACTGAGCAGTTTACAAGAGCCATAATGGAGGCATGATGGAACCTGCATGACAATGCATGCATGAAAAACAGATCTCTTGACTTTCTAGGGGTCAAAACCGTGGCCCACCATTGATTTCCATTACAGTGGTGAGATTAGCCACCAGCTTATTTCCAGCATGTGCATTTAACAAGCTACTGTATCTTCACAACTGCAACTCCTGACATATGACCTGCAAATTCAGGATACCAGTTTCAGCGTCCATAATTCATCCTAGCACCAAAATAACCCTAATCATTTATATTCACAGCTGGTTTTCTAATCCAAAATAGCTGTATATTATTCACTGAAAAACAAAATTTGATTGAAAGTTCACTAATACGCATAACCATATTATGGTTCATATCATTATAACTAAAGAAAAATGACAAAAAGTATTTAAGACATTTTTAATTGTAATATTTATAAAATGTAAATGACTTGGAATTTGAAAAAAAAGGGATCTAATTATTTGCTTTGTCCTCCAAACAGGTTAATTTTTTAAGCAAAAGTACTGTGGAGATAAACACAAACAAAAATTGACAATTTCAAATGAACATGATTTTTGATAATACACTGAGTGATTATTACTGTTTAGTTGAACTACTTTTGGTACCATGGTATATTTCACTGGACACAATCAACGCTGTCTGCGTAAAGACAGCTGACGACGGGGCAAGCGATATTCCTCTTGTCCAGGGCAGAACGGTGTCTCCTTCCCTAGTTCACATGTAGGTCCAGAACTCCCACTACGTGGACGTGAACGCTGCTCTGGCCGTTTTGCCTGCCCAATCTATAACCAGAGACGGAATATTCAGTGTCACAGCTGATACAAGCGCTGCAAGTAACAAGATAAACTTGCATGCAAGGAGGAATTTTGAAAAAAAGTGCATTTGGTGTCAAGTGTAAACCTCTATATCCATTAACCCATTGCTTCGATTAACATGGGGTGTCGGGACTCCACACACTAATGAGGTTACACTTTAAACCGCTGTATGTTGAGGAGGAGGGAACACATGCGAGATAATGATCAAGCGCTATGTGTTCTGCACAAGTGTTGATGGGATGGATTTGGCGCTGTTAGGCAACAGAGGAGAGAATTGATGCCGGATGTGTTTACCTCTTTATGAAAATGATGGCTGCAGTGAAGCTCTTGGATGCCACCCCTTCCATTCCGTAGTTCTTCATGGCAAACAAGACATATGCTATCTGCATTACCCTACAAATAAAGCAGCCAAAATCATCTTAAAATAAAATTATTATAGGGCATTGATGCACTTTGTCTAATACATGTATATAACTGTACTTTATTGCAGTATACACTAACACTATACCGTTCAAAAATTTGATGTTGGTAAGATTTTTTTATACTCTTAAAAGAAGTCTCTTGTGCTCACCAAGGCTGCAATTTTTGTAGTAAACTTTTTACTGTAAAACAGTAAAAAGAGTTATATTGTGAAATATTGTTACAATCTGAAATAACTATTTTGTATCTGAAAATATTTTTAAAATGTAATTTATTTCTGGTAAAGCTGATTTCAGAAATCTTTATAATATTATGCTGATTTGGTAGAAACATCTCTTCTTGTGACAAAATATTTTGCTGCTTAATATGTTTGTGGAAACTGTGATACTTTCTTTTTATCCTTTGATGAATAGAAAGTTCAAAAGAACAGGATTTATTTGAGATAGAAATCTTTTGTAACACTATAAATGTGTGTCTGTCACTTTTGATCAATTAAATGTAATTAAAGAAAAATCAAAAATCAATAAAAAAAATCTTACTGAATCCAAACTTTTAAACAGTACAGTTAGGCTATATACGCCATACAATAAAGACGTTCACTTTTACAAACAGGGGAACTGGGTGTTATAGGGATAATTTACTTAATAATAAATGAAAGCTGCACTGTAAAAATGTTGCTGCAATTATTTATATATCAACAAAACATGTGTTGAGATAACTAAAATATCCAACTTCACTAAACTAAAGTTAATAACTTAAGTCAAACACATACTTTTTTTTTAAGTTGAAACAACACATTGTTGTGTTGTGTTTTGATAAATAATCACAGCAATATTTTTTTTTACAATGTGTATGTCATTGTTGTGTTGTTGTCACTCCATAAACATAAACAACTTAGAGCTTTGATTTGTTGATAGTGTCCCCATAGAAACGCATAATCTCGAGTCCGAGAACATCTCCTAAGAATGTCACAGGTTGTTCAGGTTGGTTCAGGAGGAACTGTAAAAGGGGGCTGCTGTTTGTTTGAGGTGCTCAGTGACTGTTTGTCTACGGGTGCTTCTCAGACGGAAGGCTGCATCCCAGTGAGGCTGTGTCCTAGTCCAGTCCTTCGGAGTCCACCTCACTATTAAAGGCTAGATTGAGACGCTATCAGTGCGTATGGCTTCATGAAACACGTTCCCGCCCCCACGGTCACGGCATGAAAATACTATTAAAACTTCATTTTGGAAAGATACTTTGTTTTAAAAAATCTTTATATCAACTGGCCTTCTATTAATGCAATACAGTCTCCCAGTGGCTTAATTTAATTAATTTACAACAAAATAAAAGAGAACATGCATCACAGATAACATGTATGTTATCTGCGAAAACATTGTTTTTGACTTCCATTTCATAATGAACTCAGAAGAGCTCAGTGCTGACTCGTTTTCCATCAGTTATTTTTTGTGAATTGGAATGTGTGCAAAGGATTGTGGGTGATTGAAGGCTGCAGAGGGTACACTTGATGCATCCTTCAAAATGAGTCAAAGGAAGGATGCGAAATGAAGGTTGCCATCCAAGGATCTTTCAAATTGAAACGTCCTTTGACAGAGTTTGATGACGTGGCATGAGATAGGCTACAGTATGCAGCCTTCAGAGGATGAATTGAGATGAATTTAATCTTCTGATTGAGAAGATTGACAGGCAGATTGACAAAGATTGGACGAACATTTTTTTCGTCCTTCCACAGAAGATGTATGTACATTTTTTTTATATTTAGACCACTTCTATTATTGATTGCTATTGGGATGTGAAGAGAGTTTCAAGCTGTATAACAAAAAGTGTTTCTGAAAAAAATGATATCTGCCTTAATGTCACGTTTCAGTTTGTGTGTGGACTAACTTTCTGTTTGTATTTTTGATCAGTTCCTGTGTTCATTTGTTTCCTGGCATATGCCTCCTGGTGAAATGGCAGCAGTAATCCGAGCAAGACAAAGACATAGGCTAAGGAGACGAGCTGAAAAGATTTTTGCCACAAGAATCACACTTTTTCAGTTGAGTGAAAACGAAATCATTAAGCGTTACAGATTAAGCAGCTACGCAATATTACAGTTACTGGAAGAAATCAAAGATGACATCTTATTTCCGATTTAGCGTTCACATTCCATTCCAGCAGTTGTTAAACTCCTCGCTACATTACAAATATTGGCATCAGGATCATTTCAAATAGTCATAGCATCAGCAGTGACAGGAGGAGGCCCATTCAATTGCGCGTTTAAATACGCGCAATTTACGGTAGGCTATAGTGGGTGGGGACAGGCGCTGGTTAGTGGTTACCTGATGAACTGCAGGTTTGGTACATAACACACACACTGCGGTTTCACATCAAGCGCTTTCTGCGTCTTGGCCATGGCGCTATTAAAGCTGCGTTCGCAAATGTACGTACATCTGGCCCTGTGACAGCAGACTGGACCGCTAAAATGGATATAGCAGCGCAGTTCGCTGCTTTGGTTCGAAAGGGTCTCAACTTTGTAGATTACTCCGTGGAGTTCTGCCGTCTTGCCATCCTCTCCCCCTATGATGACGAGACCTTTAGAACACTATATTGGATCGGGGCCAACTACTTCCACTCAGTTGACCTTCCAGACACCCGAGGACTTTCCTGGAGGGACGCCATTCTCAAGTGTCTGGAAGACATGTACCCCCGATCCAGAAAACAGCCGAAACCAGAGTCTCGTCCCAAGATGGCCACCATTCCCGAGTCTTGTCCCGTCATGGCCGGCACGGAGCCCTCTGCCAAGATGGTGGCCACGCCAGAGTCTCCAGTACCCGTCCAGGACCCAGAGAGGCCTTCAGTCCCCGAGCTCAGCCCAGAGATGGCTCCAGTCCCTGAATCCTCTCCAGCTAATGTCAGGATTCAGTTTTTGTATGGACTTTCAGTTTGTATTTTTGATCAGTTTCTGTGTTAATTTGTTATGTTTCCAACCACTCCTTTGTTTCTATGGTCACTGTCATTATGAGTTCATTTGTCCCAACTGTGCCTGATTAATTATCTCGTTTCTATTTGCTATTTAAGATGCAGCCTTGCTTTCAGTCTTTGTCCGGTCTCCGTTGCGTTAATGTGTGTTTTCCCTGCCGGTCAGCTTGTTCCAGAGAGTTATTTTTAAAGTTTGAGTTTGCATCTTTAATCTGAGTCTTCAGTCTGTTCCTGAGATAACCACACTATTACACTTAGTGGTTTGGACCTTGTTTTGGGGGGTAAGCTGTTTAAGTATGACAGTTTCAAAACCTTTTTGGTCCATTGTCTGTGACATATGATCTGGCCTCTTACCCACCATTGATATCACCTTCTGGTTGTGGACACGCAGCCTCTTCTCTAAGCACTCGGAGAGCTCTGGAATGGTGGTGATGTGACATTCAGGTCCCCCTACTTTGGTGTGGCTGTTTTCGTCTGAAGACACACGGCGGGCACGAGGGTGAGAGCGCATCTCCTTCTCTTCACGGCTCTTTAGGTGGACAGGGGCAGGGGCCATGTTGTTAGCATGGAGATGGTTCACCTTCATGGCTTCTAGCTGAGACTTTTCGGTACCAAGACAGAAAGACAGGGAGAAAAACCATGACATATGAATGGGATAGGAAGTGATAAGCTACATATTAAAATAATCAGAATCTTTAAAAGCTAATTTAGTAATGATTTCATTAATGATTATTGTTTGTTTGCACATTTTGAAGTGGTGCATATTTGATACGGAGCAGAATGACATCATTGGGGTAAGCAGTCATAATTTCCTATATGAAGTTAGTTTTGTAAGGCTCAATATAAACCACCCGTATAAGACACTTGTAATGGCAGGGGTCAAATAGGTTCATTATTTTTGAGCATGCAGCTCAAAATGACTTGTGTAGGCATTTCACTTGAAGTCAAGCTAATCATAGGAGCTTTACCTATTAACCTTGGAGTTACTGCCATTCACTACTGTCTCTTAGGACATGTACACTGTTTACAAATAGCTATATTATTTTCCAACACATACTGAGCATGAGCATAGCAAAACTAATTTCCTGACACAATAGTTCAAAAATGGCTGCAGATCAATACACATTTTTAAACAAGTGAACAGAGAACCGCCACATTCGAAGAAAAAGTGTATAAACCTATATGACACTATAGCTTAAAGTCAATAATAAAAACAGTTTTTTTTACCCAGAGCTTTTCTCTGAATGCATATATGTACCACAAATCATTAAACTTATCTATGAGATTTTTTACTTATTTTAATGTTAATTTTATTTGAAAGAAAAAGCTGCTCTCTATATTTTAATGTAATAAATGATATACTGTATGTATGTATGTATATATATATATATATATATATATATATATATATAATCAATGTAATCAATTATTAGACAATGTGCAGAAGGTTAACATAAATTTTGCATGCACGTGGGCTTAAATGTAATACATAAATATTGCAAGTACAATATTTTTTGTACAATCAACTTGTATGTTACGGTCATTTTAACTTAAATTACATTAAACTTACTTTAAAAAATGAGTTGAATCTAGTATAACTTATTAACAAATTGCTTAACTTATTTTGATGAGTTAAAGCAATATACAACATGTTGTCATAATTATTGATAATATAAGTTTTTACAGTGATTACATTTAAATTCACAATAACATTTAGACGTAAATCCAGATGTAAATGATGATGTCCACTCTTAGTTTTTATAAAAGTTAGCGGGAATAAATAAAACCATGCTAAGCACAAAGTGCCATGTCAAGTAACAAGTCAGCCTCAAATTTCTTTTGTTTACGTAACATTTATTTTACTGTTTACGCAAATTGGGATATTTAAATCTAACTACATGCAGGAAAAAGTGAAGGATATTCCACTTAAATAATAATTTTCATCTGTTTTTAATTTTTTAAATTAGCAGTAATCCAGGCAGCCATCACACATTTTTTTTAACATTCTTCTCTCCCGACCTTTTGGTATAAACACAGTCTTGCTGTACATTGTTTACTTAAGGAGGCTGTGAGGCGAGAGAGAGCGTGTGAACCACTGATTTGTGGGGGAAGAGAACAAATTTCTGCTGGGTCACTACCTCTAATCAGAGCACACTTTCCTGTTTTCACAGAGGTTCTCTTCCAAAACCCATTATGCAATATTTTGCCCAGCTTTGTTTTCAAGATTGACAGAATTCAAAACACAGTGAAAATCCTGCCATAAGCCATAAACACACATAAATAGTCCCCAATTGGAGTTCTAGACTGGACTTTGTCAATGGATTCACTTGCTCCCAGAAGCATTAAAGAAATAAGGCGAGGCTGCATTACAGTGATTTTACCATGATTAGGGTTGCTCTTATTTTATTCATGGTAAAATCACTAGCTTACTCCTTTTAAAAAAAATGGCACCAACAGCACTGTTATAAAAAGACACCAGTGAGCAGACAGACAACTATAATAATTCTAAACAATATAATTTTTATAATTATAACAAATGTATTTAAATTATTATAAAAAATACAGTTAGGCTAATTATTATAAATAATATTACATTTGTGTGTTACATTTGTAGTATTTTTATACTATACATTTATAATTATAAAATATGTATAGTTTATGATAATATTATATTATACACCTTATTTTTAATGTTAGAGCGGGCACGGCCGTATGTAAATTGAACGTGTCTGGCTTCTGGTCACATTCATTTCCAGCTGCTTGATATTGAAAATTTATATTTTTCATCATATTATTCTAATGTATTGTCGTAACTACAAACACTCTGGTTCGTAGTGCAATTATCGTAGTTTTACCATTTACTGCACTTTGTTATTATCAATATATATATATATATCATGCACAATTAGTTCTGTTATTCTGTGTTGACTGTATTACTGTGTATTATGTTTTACGAGACAAATACAATGTATTTGAATTGACAAAATTTCAAAAAAAGTTATCTCAAAATTTGGGAGTAGTAAAACTTGTGCGAAAAAGAAACAAAATATAATGAGCTGAGAATTTATACGGCTAATGAATCGTGAGTCTTGCACGTTCACAGAAAGTACCTCATTGCAAAATAAGATGGATGTTGTATTTATAAAAATAAGTTAAATTAAATCACATTCAATAGCCTAATATTCAACAATATACCGCCAAGAGATATAGTTCATAATCCTAACAGTTTTACAATGACTTTGAACATTTCAAATCAGAATTTGAAGTTGAATCTATCCATTTTACATAGTACATACATATATATACATTCATATGTTGCATTTATGACCGAACCCATTCCCCTAACATCATTCCACATGCGTGATCAACTACCTTACCATGCAGGGCAAAGAGGCACGGCGGTCAGTTCTGTTGCGGGAGGGCCTCTTGAAGCTCCTCTTTCTGTCTTTGTCGTGCTCCTCCCCGTGCCCCCAGTAACTGCTCATCCACTTGGTGAAGTTCCCATCATCGTCCTCCTCATCCATAAGAATGGCGGGAAGCAGCCGAAGAGACAGCGTGAGAGCTGGTGTGTGGAGCTCTCTGCGAGGCTCCTGTCTCCTGGAAAGAAAAAACGGAGCAGGGTGCAGCCGGCGTAATAAGATGATCCAGCTGGGTCAGACGTGGCTGCTTTTATGCTGCTGCTGATGTTGTCCTGGAGCTTCTCAGGAACTCTTTCGTTGAAGGCAATGTGCGGTCCAGACTCCAGACTGTAGACGATAGGCTGGGCTTGATTTTGTGTTTGGTTGAAATTAGATTCCTCCAGTTATGTGCTCACAGTGTGTGGGTGTAATTGCTCAAAGCCCCCAAAACATGCATGCACAGCTTTTTGTCGAAGTCTTTAAATAAGTGAATCCTCTGTAATCTATTTAACATGAGATAGGGAGGGGGCTGTAGCCTATAAGGGCGGAAGAGAGGTAAAGCTAGGGAGAGGGCGAGATAGACAGAAACAGAGAAGAGAGAGAGAGAGAGAGAGAGAGAGAGAGAGAGAGAGAGAGAGAGAGAGAGAGAGAGAGAGAGAGAGAGAGAGAGAGAGAGAGAGAGAGAGAGGATGGTGTTTTTTGGGTTGGTGCTCTGCTTTTAATCTTTCCATTACAGAGCAATGGGCCTGAGGGTGGGTGTTACTCACACACACTCTGTGCAACTCCAATTCTCCCATACTTTCCACTCAATGAGCACATCAAACCTGTCAATAATTATGGACTGCAGCAGGCGAGAACCAGCATGTGTTATGAGAGTCGGTGTGATCATGTATTTATACTTATACTGTCTGACAACGAGTAAAGCAAGATTACCAATCAATGCAGAATGGCATGATCGAGTGGGATGGCTAGACTTTGTTCTGATCATGACAAATGCTTTATAGTATAACTATGTGGGTTATATTGCAGCAGTTTAATCAACAAACCATAAGATGATATGGTAACACTTCTTATTAAATAGATATTCATAATGTACATTGTTATGCATTATATCTTTGTTATTTTTGTATATCATTGCTATGCATTCTATCCATCCATCCCTCCATCCCAACCGAATCCTAAATATGTTATGAATCATTTCGACAGATTATGTCTGCCTACAGTCAGAAAGCTATATATTTGCAAAAAAGTACAACATTTAGTCAAATTATTCTCACATTCCAAATGTTGCAGCTGCACGTTCAGTAACACGTATTTTCAGCTGACCCCATTTTAGAATATGATAAAACCCCTCCCTTTCAGGAAGAAGCGATCTGGGGCACACAACCACCCCCAAGCCTCGCCTGCTCGTCCTGCTCCAGTTGTTCCCACCGCTGGACTCGGGGGCAGCAGAGCGTACAGTATGAGTGGCCAGAGACACTGAAAACACACAGCACCTGTGGACATGTTTGATCCTTGTCCTTAACTGTTATGTGAATTCTGGGTCACTATACGCCTAGTTATTTATTTTATTCCTTGTGTTCGGCGAAGAAATATTGCCTGCATTATAGTCATTACAGAAACAGATTTGCACAATGCGCATATGTTTCTTCAACTACGGGCACTTTTCTCACAATGTTAAAAAAATGTATACATACATAAGTGGATTGTGACTTTTTTTTTTTTTTTACAGAAAAAAGGTAAATTCCCACTATGAATTTTCTACCACATTTCAAATAATGTTCTGCTTAATAGCTTTTTGATGTAGAAACTGTTTTGCCATGCAAAAGTCAATTTTATTTCTAGCATTTCATGTAATCTTTATATATGCTTACATGTAAATACGCATATGCTTAATAGATTCATAAATTCATGCTTTTTTAATCTAACAGTTTGATTGGATATCGAGGCTGAATAAAAATATTATGTTTTTGTGATATTTTAGGATATTATATATTGTTTCAAAGACAATTTATAGGACAAAACTAAAATAGTTTTTGAAGGAAGTCTCTTATCCTCAAAGCTGCATTTATTTGATCAAAATACAGTAAAAAAACAACAACCCAGTAATATTGTGAAACATTATTGCAATTTTTTATATTAATATATATTTTAAATGTAATTCAACCATGTTATGATAAAAAAATAAATATTTTTAACAATGTAAAAGCCTTTACTGTCAGTTTGCACTGACAATGCACTGTCAGTTTATAAAAAAGGCATGATAAAAAGTCCTAAGGGCATGCAGTTATAATTGTGACTCACTTACAGTATAAAAATTCTAAATGAATGAAATAATTTATTTTTGAATGAAACCCAGAATGGAGATAATATTAATTAATATAATTAATATAATTCAAGATCAGCCAAAACGTTGCATTTCTGCAATGGGCAATATCGCTGTCTATGTGCTCGCAACATTGTAACATGTGCGACAGGGCCGTAGCAACATTGTTGCCCGACATTCAGCAACAGAGAGACCACGTTCTGACAATTACATTTTTAAATATGCTAGATATAGATATCCTCATTTAGCATGTTATTTTGTGTGGTTAATTTTTAATTAGTCATATGTTAGATAATTATATACTTTTTAAATATTGTTATTTATGGGCCTAACAGTAGGCCTAAATTAATTATAATCAACACCTGCAAGTGTAGCCTACATTTTGAAGAGTAAAAACGACATAGAAGGTAAGCTAATTCAACTTTATTAAGCATATGGTAATCAAATTGCACTTCCAAAAGTCATACATTTGTGAGAAAAAAAAAAAAAAAACATTATATACAGGGAGTGACTAGCATGAGCAGACATGAGAAAATAGCAAAGAAACGAATGAGACGACAAATCAAAGGAAAAATAAACAGGTGTGGGAGCGATTACAAACATTTTTTTTCTCTGTGCGTTTCCAAAAAACATACACAAAAAAAAAAACATTAACGTGCTTATAGCAGTTGGTAAATCTGATAAATGACAGAGCAATTCATCACATCAAATATAGGCCTACTCTTTAATGTTATATTTCAAAATTACAAATAACAAATTGTTTCAAACAGTTTGGAAAAACAAATCTTTTTGCATTTTTCCCTGACATCTTTGAAAAATACAAATGCAATAGCTAGGCTATGATTAGTATGTTTTGACAGGATATAAAATATTACCCAGGGCACTCTGCTTTAATACACGTAGCCTTAATGTAACTAGAAAGACTATTAATACAGTATAATAATTTAAAATAAAATTAAGAAATACATCTTAATTCCTTCCCATAACATTTCCCTTAGTTTCAGATAACTAGCCAAACTGAGTCAAAGCTTCTGGCCTGGTTGCAAAGTAGTTGTAGAGTTTTTGACTGCATCAATAATGTATACGAGGGGCTATTAAATGTTCTACTTCTAGCCTAAAAATGTTAGGCGAGCTTTCTTCCAACTTACATTCTCCATGACGACGTGTGTTCGCGCGATGTCGCGGTGGCCGAGAATATGTCCGTCAACTTCCGTGTGTTCGCGGACTTCACGCATCTATGTTGCCATAGTAACGAACGCAATCTGGCCGAGATACAGACGCGCTGGCGGCAGGAAACTTCACTTTGTGTGCCCGCGCCTCGTATACAACATTATGTATAAAGCTTGCAGGACAACTTGGTTGGCATTGCCTTTTCAGCGTGAGAAATACACTGTGTGGCGTGTGAGCGTGTGAACTGGTTGAATTGCGTGTGTCTCACGGCCAATGCGTGAGACTTGAGAACCCTTAGACAAGGAAGTTGTAGGTTGTGTTTGTATAATTCCGTATCTTATTTAGCTGAGGTAAATTAAACGCAATTCTCACGTATCCTTGCTTGATGATGAATCAAGCCCAGCGGTTGGTTGAAATTTAAAAGGCTGATTTTCGCGCTTCCGGGCAGTGACGAGTAGGCCTACATGTTGTCCAGTGAACAATCTGATTGTTATTATAATACACTAAACACACTGTATTCTATCCCTCACAGCCTCGTTTTCAAGCAATGGCCCTGAACGGTGGTTCAATGTCAGCATTGTGACAACGCCGTAACAACCTTCACCACACAACGTAGTTATAGCAACTTTTTGGCCATGTTGTTGTTGTTAGAAGGTTGGGTAGCCTATGTTGTGCCAACGTTCTGTGTTTGCTGGGCGTTAGCGCGAGTCCGGATCGAGCGACCAGACAGCAGAGTATTCTGTTGGCAAATCAAACAATGATTTGTACCAAAAGAATAATTAATTCTCAATTAAGAGTTTGTTATTCGTATGGTCAGATGTGCGTGAGTGTGGGCTGTGATTGGATGAGCAGTGTAGTGATCATTCTCAAGTGTCGTGTTGCTGTTGTATCAGTCAGTGGTTAGATCAGCTGAGCGTAGCAGTCAATACGGGACAGGAGGTCCCATACGGGACAAATAAATTAGGCCCAATATGCGGGACGTCCCGGGCCGGCTAATACGGGACAGTTGGCAACCCTCCAAATGCAGTTTGGACAGGGTAATCCAAAGACATAATCCAAAGTACAGGCAAGGTCAAACACAGGCAGGCAGTCCATGCAAACGAACACAACAAGGCAGGGAACACGGGCAAAAGAGTAATCCACGGAACAGGCAATAAATCAAAAAACCAAGAGACATGAAACCAGGGAGAATGCTCAGAATTGCAGTGTAACACTAAACAAGACTTCGCAGATAATGAATGAGAAAACCAGGCTTATATGGGGTGAGCGAAACAAGATAATGAGACACAGGTGAATGTGATAATGGATGAAGAGTCCGGGCAGTGAGTTAAGGGAAGTTTGTGAGGGAATGACAATAGTCTGATGTGGAGTGCCCTCTGCTCTCAGCCTCTCAAGGGCACTCCAGCTGGTAACCGTTACACTTACATAAATATTAATTCTCTCTTCAGATTTTTTTTGAACAAAAGTAGGCTACTACACAAATTTGTGGAAAAAAATAGCTCTTTTCCAAGCAAAAGGTAATGCTCTAAAAAATGCAATATGTGATATTTCAGATACTACAATCAGATTGTGTCAAGCACTGACAGAAAGACCTGTCCTCAACTTAACCCTCAGACGGTCTTCGTTTCGGAGTCACATCCTGGGCCTTCCCGGTCAGAAGTGACCGGACACCTAAAAATGAAACTTCCTCCATCCCAGTAAAACCAATGCAATTTATTTTTGTTCTATTATAATTATTCTTTTTAATTTAGTATTTTGAGACAATTTGATTGAACTTATTAATATTTATGCAATATTTATGGTCAATTTTTTGCCATTGAAAATAATAATTTTTTTTATTTTATTTTTATTTATTATTTAATTTTCTTCTATGCAGTATTTTCGGTTAAAATAGAGACTAGGCTTTAAAAAAATAAATAATAAAAAAATTAAACATAAAATGAAATAAATCATGTTATTGCATGGGTTATACCACTAGATGCCTGTATAGCTCTAAATGGAGATGCTTGTGAATTCTAGTTGTTTTTGGAACAAATAACTTACTTTTAAGATGTGGATTGAATGCATTTTTTTTTTTTAGAAATTC